TAGCAACTGCTCCCAACACTCAGGTGCCGGAATCCTTCAGAAGTCAGTGTTTGAGAACTGTTTGGTTTTTGTGATTCCTAAGTTATGAATATGTTTTGATCAGACTTGCCCGACACAGGCCGGCCGAGATGGGCAGATTGCTGGTGACGCACAGGCACGGAGAGCCACGGAGACACAGAGTTCGCATGTTTCGAAGCATCTCCTCTTGTATCCTCTTGTGCTATAATGTGCCCTTACCAATTGCTCATAACTACTCTAAGAACTTCTACCGGTAGCCCATGGCAGCCCCAGATACTTCCTTAGGCCAAGCAATAATTTCATCCCGCATCACGGGACCCATCAGCATAGCAGCACTCCATGGTGGCATTTTGAATGGGCGAGGCTCAACGGAACATGCACGCGATCGCAAGGAATTTGGTAGACAAGGGCCTGCTAGATCCCAGGAGCGTTGCGAATTTTGCGAATTTTGCGAATTTTGAAATAGCAATTCTTTATTTTTCTTTGTTTTTGCTAAAGCGAGACATCAATAGACATCACGTATCAGCAGTTCTTCTGCAACACACTTTACCCATCTTTACCCTCCAGGTGCAAGAATCCCATATCCTTGCGCGCGCTTAGGAGCATTCCTAATGGACTCTCAGAAATACCTGCGAACGATGTTGACATGCTGCTTGGCAAGCCTTGACGCTCCATTAAATTTCATTGATGCAGTCACAAGTCGCAAGTGTTTTGATAGTTCAACATTTTTCAACTGGTGACTGACAGTCAAAACGTGGTTTATCATGAGGTTGTCGATGCTTCGGCATCTGAAAGAGGTTGGAGAAAGCTCGAGGCTGCGTCCTGTTCACTACAGTCACAAGAAACGTTGAAGACGAGCCACGAGCCACTCACCAAATTTGCAACAGGTCATGTGATCTTGTAACATCATTCTTTGCATGCAGAAGGACTTGTTTTGTTTGACTTCCAGCGGGAATGTAGACCTTATAATACATATTTCTTGGATGTTACGAAAGCCAGCCGATAGGCTAGGCAAAGTTGTTTTCGCGAACGAAGTGAGTATAGGGGGTGTGGGGGGGGAGGTTGCCCAGGTGCACCGAAATCTCGATATCGGGTGGTGATAAGGGTGGCCAATTGAATTTTTTAGGGGGCATGTACCACTAGGCAATTTGGTGACGGTGGGGTTCGATTCTCCCTAGGTCCCCTGAAAACGGAAGGAAAAAGGTAGGAAAAACCAAGGAAAATGAAGGAAAATCGTTAAAAAACAGTGGGAGAATGGAGGAAAATGGTGGAAAATTGTGAAAAAACATTAAACTGGAAGAAAAAATGAATGGCAAGCTTGGAAAAACCAAGGAAATCGAGGAAACCGTTGGGAAAATGAAGAGGAAACTCTGGAAAAACCGTGGGAACGCAGGAAAAGGTTTGAAAAAAAACATGAAATGGAGGCAAGGCAAAGCTTTAAAAAAGCTAGGAAGATAGAGGCAAGAATATATTGAAAAAACTAAGGATCCGAAGCTCAACGAAGAGCAGCGTCCATTGGGGTTCGGAGCAAGACAGTTTGCAAGGGGATGAGGAGTGATACCGAGGAAGGAGTGGCGAAGGGTTGCAAAAAATGGAGGAAAATGGAGGAAAATTGTGAAAAAAACATTAAACTGGAGGGAAAAAAATAATGGCAAGCTAGGAAAAACCAAGGAAAACTGAGGAAATTGTTGGGGAAATGAGGAAATTGCGGGAAGGAAACTCTTGAAAAGCCGTAGGAAAACGCAGGAAAAGGTTTGAAAAAAAGGCATGAAATGGAGGAAAGACAAAGCTTTGAAAAAACTAGGAACAGAGGCGAGCATATTGAAAAAACTAAGGATCCGAAGCTCAACGGAGAGCAGCGTCCGTTGGGGTTCGGAGCAAGACAGTTTGCAAGGGGATGAGAAGTGATACCGAGGAAGGAGTGGCGAAGGGTTGCAAAGCAAGGACAAGATGGACAAGTGTGAAAAAAAAGAAACATGCATGCACCTTTCAGACGGCAAACTTGGATCATAGCCTAGGCTACAGCGACATTTCTTTGCAGAACCAAAAAGATTCCGGCTAGGGGCTGGCTTTCGTCCCCCTCCTCAGGTTCTGAGGTACTGCACCATTATTGCGATCTTGATAATTAAGTTATATGAATATGTAATGTGGACCAGCGTTTCGTCAATGCTTTGTTCATGTGGCATCTTCGTTGGTAACCTGGAAACAGGACTCACAGACCTCATCATATGGAGGAGCACATTGATCATACATTGTCCCAGAAAGTCTGTGAAAAGTGTGTTTGCACCCCTCGCCAGTCTATCCTTCCAGGAGCTTGGCCTAGGAAATCGAAGCATTATTTGAGTGTCGCTGCACACGCCTTGCGCGTGTGGAAATCGTCTCCAGCGAGATTCTGTAAGGAGAAGGGATCATTACATTCTGAGACGTTTTGAGTTTTGCGTTGTGAGAGAAGTTCACCAATGTTTCAAGTTCTGAAAGTTTTCTTGCTCTATTTGAGAAATCTTCAGGACAGCGACGCTTATTTTTGCAGCATTTTGCAGCAGCTATCTCAGATGCTCCTCTTTGATCCAAGAGATTAACTCGTGACGCGAAGTGTGATGACTCGTGATAGGCAGGGACAGAAAGGGACATGATAGGGAAATGTGTCTTCGCCCTTCCAGATGTTTTGAGGTTTTGCCCTTGAACTTGGGCAAACTTCTGAAAGCCGAAATTGCTGAATTTGGCACGAGCATTTTGCATCGCCATTGTCGCTTGTCTCCGAGCGATTTTCCGAAGGGCTTTGATCGAAAGGTTTACATCGACGTGTTAAGCCGTCGAGATTTGAGTGGTGCAGATCGCAGCCTGGCAGCTCAAGTGTTTTCAAGTCCTGAATGAATTCAGGATTCGAACCGGCGATTTGTTCAAGTGGCAAGATGTGGCATGTGGCAAGTGAATCAATGCAAGTGAATCACAATTCATCAAAATTCAACATATTATTGGAACAGCTTGCCGTAAACTTGAACAGGTCAGCCAGCTTCCAGGGTGTGCAGGCACAGCCATGGTTTTGTTTAGACTCAGACTTAGACTTCCTTTGCACATCTTTGCACTCATGGACCTTAACTTCTTTGTCCATCTTTGTCCGAAGTTGAAGAATGATTTGCCTGATGAGCTTGTGACCAAGCTGGCCTGTAGCACCTCCAAAATCATATATAGAATGGCAATGACTCAGTGTTCAGCAGCATAGTTCAGCGGAGTCTGCTTTTTTGAAGCGATGATCAAGTCGCGCTAGTCTCGATTTTTTTCGAGAAGTGAGTGCTCATCAGCTTTCAGTTAGCACCCTCACGGGATGGGCCAACGGATGCTGATTTTCCCTCTATTGCGACCTTTGAAATTCAACTGCATCAACTGCGAAGCCTTGTGGGCCGTCCGGGCAGCCAAATGTGCAAGCCCTTTTGGTCATTTGATCAATTGCTTCGCCACTATTTCGCCACTTCCTCAGCAATTTTGTGATGTTTTGGATTCCAGCGACTTTATATTTCAACAGCCTCGCTTGGAATCCTTACAGAGTTATGGCTCTGTTCAAACTCTGTGTGCCAACAGGGTGGTGTTCGCTTGACCGTTGTAGATTGACTTGCCATGACTTGCTTTGGTTCAACACGGTTCAACCGTTCAACCTTAACCATCCAACAAGTGACACTTGTTGCTGGCAAGTTGAGACCCCGGCAGCAATTCCCCCGAAGGGCGAAGGACACCACGCGGGCATAGGATACAGCAAAAAGAAAGCAAACAGCGAAGCAGTGCTTGAACGTCTCATTTTTCCAAGTTCAATGCACCATGCATGATACAACTATAGTATGTAAATCACTTTCCGACTTATGTAATTGTTCATGGGGTCGTTCAGTTGTTCATTCCGTGCTTGTGTTTTTGCGCGTGTGCCAATACCTGTTTGTACTGAGTGTGAATTGATTTCTTGAATCGCCCTCAGGCACTGATGTTCCAGTCGAAGGTGGGGTTTCCATAGCTTCTATTCCAAAGACCAGAAAAGGAAAGCAGAGCACTTGCAGCCGTCAGCTTATGTAGCTTGAAGCAGCGACATAAAGGCATGTTTGCAATCAACCTGGACGAGTAATACTGTACAGTCGCTCGCAATGACCTTTTCAAACACAGATTGTCATGTGACTGATGACATCAGAGCAACTTGGCTGTATGGCCATTAAATAGAGAGACTGGCCACAAACCCTGCAATTGTTTGCCCACCTGCTCACATAAGGCCTCCTGCGCACAAATAGACCCACACACGCAAAGGTGTGTACAAACACACACACACAAACATGACAACAGACGTGTCAGATCATAGGTGGATACTGAACAGAATTTCTGATCTTCATGCCGCAATCCTCTGCTCTCAGTTTGGAGCTGAAAATTAAGATAGGTCTGATATGGTCTGATAGTCTGACGTGGTCTGATTGATACACTTCTGATGCTGACACGGCTGCTGTAGGCTGTCTTAATGGAGGCTTCTCATGCTCTAATGGACGAAGGCACCAAGCAAGTGCACATGTATCACGTGTTATTGCAGATTTTGTTGTAAGGATAACATATTATTGCCCGCACCACAAACGTATGATATTCACTGATTCACTGAGAATCAAAGAAGATAGCCAAGCTTTAGTCAAGGCCCAGGCAGTCCCTTTGGATCCCTTGGTGCTGGTGGAAGAGTCGCAGCAAATGTAGCCAGCAAACCATAATTAAAACACGTTAGATCACGTTAGAATACAGCATCGCAGGGTCTTCTGCGGCCATGCATTGCGCATGATGCCAAGTCGGAGAAAGCTGCGATGCTTTCTGCTTCTGCATGCGCTGCTTCTCGGATGTTTGGTTTTGGGGCCGCAGGCGTGGCTGGGTGCAACCCACCACACTACAACTGGGACATGTCGATCCGGCAAGGGCTTGCAACGAGTTGTGAGAGACTCCAAGCGATTGGACTCCGAGCTGTGGCCAGAGATGTTTGACTGGGTGAAAAGCACTGGTCTGGATACATCAGATATTCAGGTCAAAGTTGCTGCAACTGAGGATCTGGCCAAAGGGGAACTTGGGCTAGTAACCACAGCACCACTGGTAGCAGGGGATATCCTTGCTTGGGCACCCACTTCACTGCTATTGAACAAGGATAAGGCAGTTGATCTTTGGGGAGCATTGGTGGAAGATTTGTCCGACCGCCTTGCGTTGATTCTTCTCCTGGTGCAGGAGCGCTTCTTGCACGGCACTGCTTCGAAGTGGCACGTCTACATGCAGAGGCTGCCAGACTTCAACGGCGATGTTTCGGGTCCCAGCTTTCTTTGGTCAGAGGAGGAGATCTCCTTGCTACAGGGAAGTGATGGATATGGCGCAGCTCTTGCAATGTATAACACCATTGTTGATGAATATGAGTGGCTCAATGAGAATCTTTTCCTAAAGCATCCAGATACCTTTCCAGCTGAGACCTTCAGCTTCAAAAATTACTTGTGGGCTGCAGCCAATGTGGCCTCCAGGGCATATGGGGACGACCCATCAGGAACTCATCTTTGTATCGCACCACTGGTTGATTTTCTAAATCACAAAGCCGGCGCTTTGCAGCTCACACGCTTCGGCAATGGCATTGTAGCCTATGCGCACAAGAACTATGAAGCTGGCGAGCAGGTTTGGGTAAGCTATGGTGGGAAGAGCAATGCTGAGATTTTGTCTCAGTATGGATTTGTTGATCCTGATAACAGCCAGGAGGCAGTATACATCAGAGTCGGAGAGCATCTACCTGTAAAGTCCAATGCACAGCTCGAACTCATCAGCCAGTTGCTTGAAGATCAGGATCCCGCCACTGCGATCTTTCGCATCTCGCGAAAGCCCCGAGAGTGGGAACCAAAGTTGATGCCAGTCTTGAGAATTCTGGCAAAGAAAGATGACTTGCCACAAGACGCAGAAGAGATGATTCCTCGACAGGAACCAGAACTAGAGGCATCTGCGTATGAATTGCTGCAGCAAGGTTTGAAGACGCGAGAGAATGAATATCCATTCTCTCTTGAAGAGGACAAGAAGCAGCTCGACAAGCTGGAGAAGGACCCCCCTGCCGATGCTATTGGTGATCGATTGACCCTGGCCTTAAAATTACGCATCTCAGAACAAGAGCTGTTGGAGCTTGTGATGGCATATGCTGGTGACCAGGCGTTGCGTGCCAAAGCCTAAAAGGGCTTGCAGGAACGAAAAAAGATGAAACAAGTGGACACATCAGTTCTGACTATGTAGTTCATGGGCATCAACAGGAATATGTCCATGACAAGAGCATTGTTGACATTTTCAAATGTTGGATAATGTTGGCATATGCAGGAATATGCCCATGGCTCACGTTTCAGCAAGAGCTCATTGACTGTTGATGGGCTCCCAGCCACGGCTGTTTCACAAACTTAGCCCGACCAGCCTTATCATGTTACAGTCGGCCAGCTCAACAAGATCAATCTGTAGAGATGTTCAGTGACATAAATGTTCAACAAAAGTTTTTGGTATCTCTATAATTCATACCATTCGATTCAATATTCTGTTTGTGAATCAATCGCAAGAACGTATTGATTGACACCCCAACCGCAACCTGCCTTAGACAACAACAATCCCAAATCTGATCCACGTTGACGCCTCGCCGTGTCTTTTGCCAAGAGCTTGGATTGTTGCTTGATCATCAATCCTGATCCTTTGACATCCTTTGACATTGTGGCCAGTGTTGACTCAGGAGACTGTCAAGATGAGTGCCAAGCTTTGTGTGCAATGACAAGCAGCTCTGTTCAAGATGTTTCAAGATAGATTATCAGACTGACTCGGCTGGTCCTTGAAATGGGTGATGATTCGGTCCTTCAGGTGGTCATCACACGCTTCCCAGCACCAAGCAGCTGACGACACGAATGGCCTCTAGCGGTCGCAACTTGCCTGCCAAGGCAGCACGGGAGGAAAATCAATGATTTTCTTGTGTGGAACTATGTGGAACTACTGTAAACCATGTTCATCCATGTTCATTATGTCATTGGCATTTGGGCACAACCATCTCTTGCCAGCTGGATTCTTAGAGGATGTCATAAATATTATAATGTTTATTGGGTTACGAATGCTTTCCCAGTGATACCAGTGCAAGGGGGCAGGTTCAAACCTCTTGCAGGCGCAAACCATGCAGAATCTGCAGCATATATTGGCAGCTGCCAAGAAGAACAAGCCCGTGACCCGCGTGCGAGACCCAGCTGGAGGAGTCATTGTGGAGCTTACAGAAGAGAATTCCAAGCTATGCCAACCAAGATGCGTTTCTTTGAGTCATGTTGTCCTGATTTGATACCAACTCAACACTCAACTCTGCACTGTGTGCACTGCGTGTCCATGGAAAGATTGGACAGTCAGCAGAGGTAGAGAATGCGCGGATGTTGAGGGCAAAGTTTACCGAGCTGCAGGCAAGCACCGGGAACCGCCAGAAATTTCTGTTTCCAAGATTCGCTTGGGCTCCAGGATTCTCCTGACGGAGCAGATTTAGATCCGCTGACAGTCCCCAAATGTGTGGAGCAACTTGGCTTGCGTTTGTTTTTTGGTTTTCAACTTTGACTGGTGGTTTCGCAGGTGAGTAGAGAAAGAGCGGATCCTATTCATATTCATGAAGTCATAGTTTTATCAGGTTTTTATCATGTTTAATCAAGTTCTACCGTGAAGTTCTAGCCTTGCAACAACTGTGATTAAATGCCAGGTGCAATCACTGTGGCTGGCCAGTCTATCCTCGGGAGTCCAAGGCATCACGCGGTATCCTCCCATATCAATCCTATATCCGCAATATGATCGTCCAATAGGTCCAATATCAATCCAATATCAATCCAATATCAATCCAATCTTGATTCCATATCAATTCCATATCAATTCCATATCCTCCAATCTCGTCCAATCATGACGAGACCATACCTAGTCATACATAGTCTACATTTTCCATCATGTTCCCGCTGCGGTGAGCAGCATTTGTGCGGAGCATTTCCAGATTCCACGTGGGGCACGACATGTTCACACAGCTTATGCGGATGGATCATCGATTTACCAGCTATTTTGCTATTTTTGATGTTGCCCAGGGGTACAGAATTTTGACACGCCCCATGTCACAGCAGTTGTGGGAAGCAGATGGTAGGTAGCAACCAAGAAGACCTTCGCACGAGCGACAAGCTCAGCAGTTCTGAGTTGAATCTCACTTGTCACCTTGTGCCATTCAGCAGTCAAACATGCACATGTGGCCAAGGCCGGCATAGATAGAGGCTCGAAAAAGGAGGAGGAGGCGCATGGCCTTCAATGTGAATTCAATTAAATTCATGTGTCGATATGCACAAGCAGATACAAGCGGACACATTCAACTGTGATATGAACTTTTGTGTTTGTGGAAGGCCAAGCGGCGTGCAGCCATCCAGGCAGCTATAGATGCCGGAGAGGTGAGGACGTTTTTTCCTGAAAAGATACATGCTTTTCGACATGCATCATTTGCATAGTCACTGGGCTTCAGGAAATTCCTGAAGAACTGCTCAGACAAGGAGAACCTGAAGGGTCTGCAGCCCGTATGATACCCGTATGATATCTGATATTGCATGAGACCCTCAGGGAGATTCCGTATGATCCAGCTGAGGCCAGCTGCCAGTGAAGCAGATAGCAGAGACACCGTGGAGCGCATGGCAGATCAGCTCCAGGAGTTGGAAGACCGAAACCAGCAGCCCGATGCTCGGGAGCCTCACCCAGCCCCAGCGGACCCAGCGGACCCAGCGGACGGCAACCCTCACGAAGTCTCCTAAATCTCCTAGATCTCCTAGATCTCCTAGATCTCCTAGGCCGATGACATTGATGACTCATTGATGACTCATTGATAATATTGATGCCATTCTGAGGTTGGAGAAGCAGCTGGAGGATTTGGAGAATCAATCCAAGACACTAGTGGTACAAACCTGAGAGAAGGAAACTACAGGAAGCTTACATGTGGAAACATGTGGATGCATTTGATACAGTAAGAGCACTGCTACATGAAGCAGAGTTCAAAGAGATTCAAAGGGCTTTGCAGCACAGTTAGAAAGGATTCCAGAGATCTCCAGGGTGCCTTGTGATGCTTAGGACGAGCGCGATAGACTTCAAGAAGAGCTTGACGATGCTACTGACAGGCCATTTCCTGACATGTTCCAACATGATTTGGCAAGCTTTCAGGTTTTGATGTGAAACACAGGGGAATGGCCGAAAAATGGCCTTTGCAGGATCGAGTACATGGAAGAAGCAGAACAAAGATGGCGAGACAAGGTTTCAAAGGCGGCTGATGACTTTGAGAATCTTTCAAATATTTCTTGCTGCAGCTTGATTCTGCTGAATCTGAAAGCCTTTGCTTTGCCAGTCTCGGATTGAGAACGACCGCCTCCTCCAGGAAATTGCGCACTTAGTACTACTTAGTTGACTTATGTTGACTTAGTCTTTTTGCCCATGTTGGATCAGTTGGAGCAGAGCAGAAATCCATGCAGCCGCAGTCCAGAACGGAGTTGAGCAGCGCCACATTTCAGCGATTTCAGGAGCTGGAGCGATCGAGCTTTGTCAGCTCAGACCGAGAAGGTGGTCTGATTGCTTCGCTGCTAGTTCTAGACCTCAGATACGATGGTGGAAGTGAGATTAACTGAGCAAACTGCAATTACTATAAAATTATATAATAATTATAATATATATGTATGTATTTAATATTATATCATATACGTATAGTTATTCTATTCCTTGCAAGTGAACATATGAAATCTTTGAGGCGAACGTGAAGATATTTGGATTATTCAATACTTCTGAGCATTTGATACTGAGGATGCCAGACAGCTTAGGGAAGTGATCGCCGTGATGAAGCGGCGGAGAAGACTCATGCTTTTCCCTTAGCTTTGTACGTCCTTTGCCTCTGCCATTCGTGATAGAAGACATAGATGAAAAACTTGGCTCAAGACAACAATTCATCATCATTGTACTGTACTTATCGAAAATATGCTAGTAATATTCCAGTCCAATATTAATACCTCTCTCCCCAACATCCCCAGTTGAAGCCAGGCTCGCCAAGATGCAGAATGAGCTGAAAAAGCCTTGCTGGCCAATTAGTTCTTGGACATTGTCATGTGACAACACTTTGGAAGCTAGTGAGTGTGCATAGCTTGAAATTAGATGCTGTAGCTGACTGTCACATGGCAGGAGACAGGAAGAAGATGAGGTCAAGACAGTGCTAAATGCCTGGAAAATCCGCATCATGAAGGCACCTTGCTTTGTTGGATTTTATTGAAGTCTGCATGCATTACACACAGTTCAACGGACAAAAGCCTCAAAATGATGCATGTTGTGTGGCAGCATGTAGCAGCTATGAGTTCCAAGAGCTTCTCACTCTAACCTTTGCAGGAAAAATTCCAGAGGCAACTGGACGATCTGGATGCCAGACGGAGGAAGGAGGTGCTTTGCATTGAAAGCTGGATATTATGTTTACCGTAATCATCGGTTTAATCGCAGGTCGATCTATGTTGCAAGGCGTCCTAGACATTCCATGGCAAATCCTGACGCCACTTTACTTTGAAGGTTCGAGAGCTTCAAGAGCAACTGCTGGCCGATCGTACTCACATCAGTGGACTTCAGGTCCGCTTTGTCAGCCAACTCTCATGCCACCGCACTTCGCAGATGGCCAGAAAGTCTGAAAGCAAGCGGAGTTTTTCAATGTTTTTCTCTAACTTTGCAGAGAAACTCTCAGATGCAGACCCTCTGGAAGTGTTCGGTCGCAATCTGACAGGCTCATGTGGAGCAGCTCCGTGGAAAGATTCGCCAAGCAGCTCACCGGATGATTGCCAGGGCCCCAGCCGCCCCAGCCTGGCATCAGGGTGAGGCCGCTATCTACGGATTTTACCATGACATTACCATGATATTGGCCATATTTTATTAGCTCAATTTACTGCACCTGTCACAGCCTGTGCACTTCCTTTCACCAGATTTGATGCCATACTTGTCAAGTGATTTTTGAATGCGATTGCAGCTGCAGATCTGATGTCAGGAACGATCGCTTAGCTCCAAAGCATGGCCCTTCGCACAAAGTCATGCTGGAGCCTCAGGATGTTTGCAGAGGTATCCAGTATATTTTCCGGAATCCTTTCATCTCACAGCAAGTCATGTGAGGTTCGAAACCCTTGTTGATTGATGATTGTACTCGTAGATGATTGTAGGGTCTTCTACTATCCAATGTACTAGGGATGATCATGAACCCTGCACTGGGAATCCCTCCAAGGCTCTACGTGCATGGTGCGGAATCCATCCAAGCCTGGTCCTGGAGAATGAGTTGGAGCGAACGCGCAAGAAGCTAAAGGAGCTCAATCCACCAGAGCTTGGAAACGTTTTTCCACGATGCGTTGCTGGGGGTTTACTCAATGTGGATGAGATTCCCATCGAAGAAGGGAGAAGTGGGTACTCCTACTAGGACAAGGATGATACGAGACGGATTCATTTCGATGCCCACCAGGAGACTGAAGAAGCTTTGGTTGAAGCCAACTTGCGTACCATGCCCAGGATGTGGAAGACATATTTGGGTCACAAAAAATCCCTGCAGAGAATGGATGTGTTTGGCACTAGCTGCACCTAGCTGGTCGATGATCTGCTTCTGTCATAGTTTCAAGGCTGTGATGCTCTTCAAGCTGATCTTGACAAGACAATTGGAGAGAGAGATGCACTGGAGCAAAGGCGTGAAGCGCTGTTTGGATCAATTTGGTATGTTTGGTAGTCTGTGATTGGTTGAATAAAGATGTGAAAGGATCATGAACAAATGAGTAGATTCCGACAAAAAGTTCAAGAGTTTTGTTTTGTAAGCAGTTGTCATTTGCACTTGCAGGATCGATGGAGTTCTGGCGGAGATGGAATACATCAAGGAGGTTTGTCAGTCTTGCCGAACCGATACAAGATTTGGGTTTGTCGCAAAACAGGGTACCCCTAAATCTAGTGGTATCCAGTGGTCAATCATCAGTATCCCTGTTATTGTCACCATTTTGAATCCATTTTGGGGGTATACAACGTATAGGGTATACCATGGGTATACCATGGTATACCCAATTTGCAGAGTCCCAGCACCCAGCTGACAGCTGCAGGAAGCAGGCCTTGATGAAGAGTCCATTGCCAGAAGAAAAGCTGCTCAGAAGGCTCACGAGGACAGCGTCTTCAAAGAAAAATAAAGACTCTTCACTAAATTCAGCTAAGATCTGCATGCTCATCGATGATATTTGATGATCATTGATGATTGTGGATGCATTTTTGCAAACTTTCTACTGTATATATTTTTCTTTGCATCCGTCGGCCAGGATGAATGGCATCGCAGACTCAAAGAGGCTCGCCTTGGTTTCGCCCTGGTTTCGCCTTTGTTTCCCGGCGATGTGATGCGATGGTCAGGTGCAGGACAAGCTAGATGAGCTGCAAGAGAAGTACGACAGTGAGACGGAGCGCCTTGCGCATGAGTCACACGTGTGCTTCCCTTCATCAGTTCATATAGTTCATCATACAGGGGATTATTAGGGTAGATATGGGTAGATGAACAGTTGAACAACGGTAACATCACAAACAAACTGGAACAACACTGGATCCTCTGACTTTGAGCGGCCAGGAATCACTTGCCAAGCAGCTCAAGGTGCCAAGAGTTTGCAATGTTTGCGTGGCGCTACTTGTACAGTTTTCGATGGGTTTCTGCTGCCTTGAAGCCACCAGACTCTAGAAATGCCGTACTATGCCGTAATGTACTGTAATTCTATGTAATATCAAGTATGTAATCATATTGCTTCGTACTATGCCAATTGCATGAACTGTGATTCTTCAGGCAGTGCAATCGAAACTTGCGATCACACAAGATGCTTTGAATGCAACCTCAGCGCGCCCTGGAAGTGGGTCTGGGAGCCGAGTTGGCACTCCGAGTTGGGTTGTCACAGCTGCCACTGCAGACGGGCACTCTAGGGATCCCATGGTATACATTGCATAGCAATGCATACTATCAGGATTCGTCATATGGACCCAATATATCAATGTTGATATATAATATATTACAAGATATCACAATATTAATATATATTAATATTGTATGTTACAATACTATGTTAATCTATGGTATATATTCATATATATATATAATAATATAATATATATATATATATTCATTTATTGGATGTGCACGATCTTGTATGCCAGAGCTGCAGAAACTTGCCCAAGGTCGGATCCAGATGCCTTCCGGGTGGTTCCCAATGGGCAAGGAATTCTTTGCTGTGGCTGTTCCTTGGCAGGGAAAATTGGTTCACATTCCGTGAGCCCATTTTGATGTCATTTGATGTCTAATTTTTCCACTAAGTATGCACTTATTTGCTACAGCAAAGCCACTCTATTCCTTCACATCGTTCACCTGAGGTTTAAAGCAGATTGTTCTTCGAGATGTGACGCAGCGTCTTCAGCTCTTCCGCTTTACCAGAGAACACAGTCTTAGCAAACAACCACTGCCACTGGGCCGGTCTGAAAAGCACCACGCCATGCCACGTCCATGTTCCAAGGCCCTTGCCTCCCAAAAGTGCGATGAGCGCATCAACGCCGGACCTGGAGACGGCCGATGGCCCGAGAGTAGCCATTCTACGTGAGTCTATGGATGATTTGTCAAGAAGATTCTGTAAAGGACCAAGGACCAAGGCCATCAACTCCCACACTGTATGCAAATAGACTGTGGTTTTGAATGTTTCCCCTGTCCAAACAATTTCTGAATTTAGCTGTGGAAGTTGCACACCTCTGTCTTCAGGCAAGACGCGCATTCTTCAAGAAGGCACGCCAACTTCTGCTCTACTTGAACAACTGTCAATACTGGGTCCATGGAACATTGCTTAATACTGCTTACCAGGCAGCATTGCTACAATTGTAAGGCAATTTTGGCAAATCCCAACAGCAGCACTTCATGAAATTTTGATGAAACACTTGACGCCTGGGTCGCTGCATATATTTTGGCCTCACCAAAACCAGGGCCTTGGTGGAAGACTTCAGCAAGATGACAAGTCTTCGACCTAACTCCGCCCCGGACCGGAGCGCAACTTCCTGTTGAGATCTGCTTAGATCTGTTGAGATTTGCAGTTCAGTCACGTTTGAGTTTGATCACTTTGGCAGACCCAGGTTCCAGAATATGGTGTGGAATGATGCCAAAGATCCATATCGCCTTTCGAAGCCCGCGCGACAGTTTGAGATGATGCAAGTCCGTGAACTTCCCGGAAAGTGATGATGGTGAGTCAGATTGATGGTCGATGGTTCTTGCTCTTTCATCCATGGTGCCCCTTCCTCACAGGCTTGTTGCGGAGCCAGAGTTCCATGTGATTCGAGAACCATCCAGAAGCGAGCCCAGCATGATCAACAATGCGAAAGCCAGTCATGCAAATCAAATCCGCTAAATCTAATCACATCTAATCACCAAGCCAAGCATTGAATCATTGAAAGTGTTCAAGCGCTCTTGCACACAGGTCTCGTCTCCCAGTTTCACACCATGTGGAAGCACAAGATGTCATGGTGTCATGGATCAGCTCTGTTCAGGGATCAGAAGCATGTTTTTGTTCCAAGGCCCAAAGCCTGATGCTTCTCCACGACCAGGCAAGGTCAAAGGGATTCTGTGGAAACGAGGTGAAACGAGTCTGGAAGTCCATCTTTGTCAGGTCTTCCTGCCTTGAAGTCGAAATCTGGACTTGCTGAATCCTAAGCCAACCGTATAAAAGAATTGCAAAGAGGATGGGCTTCACGTGCAGAAAATGATGAAGATGTTCCATGATATGATACACTGGTAGCTTCAATATCTTTTATTTGCCTTGACAAGATTGAGATTGACAACAGATCTTTCCGAGGTTTCGTTGAAGAGTTCAATGAGAGACTTCAGGCCCTCCCGACTGCGACAAAGAGAAACACTGCAAAACCCGTGGACATAGCTGATACGGATTTTCCTACAGCTGTTCACGTGTGTTCATGACAAATTAGGTTTTCTTACTGCACATGCTGCAAGGCCCAGATGCTTCAGATAGCACACAAAAAAACAGGCGCTGGCGAAGTGTTTGTTCAACCTGTCTGGCAGCCTTTTTGAATGCAAACATCGCAATCCCCATGGCTCATGTTCATGTTCGATGTGATTGCGCCAGGCGTTCGAAGTGGCAGAGTGCTGAACTGCTGCCTCTCCACTTGTGAACAGGTCATACCAGATCCACCTGCAACAAACATTCCTGTGCTTCCGCTTCCTCGAAGAGGAGCTGTACCAGGAGTGCTTGAGCTGGTCACATGAGAAACCGTTTCCTAATGATGACTATTATGCGGCAAAAAACGGAACTTGTATGTTTTGTTGTTTCTGTTTCTGCATGACTTACATGACTCGTAGTTCATTTCCAACTGCTGACATGTGTCCCGCTTCGGAATCATTCTCCGCGGTGCTGGCTGCAAAAGCACCTCAGCAACCACATGCAGTGAGCGGTGCGGGTGTTCGTTTTGAAAACGTTGGTTGGTTTGCTATGTTTGCTAACCACAGCTGGTTGCTTTGTGCCTCAAATTTCGGTACAGTGGCGTTCATGCAGACCCTGAAGCCATATTAGTCCATATGTACTTGGGTGTCATGTGTGCCTCGGCTCAAGGTGTTGCTGTGTGCAGCCAAATCAAAGTGGAATGACATAGACCGTGTTTGACTGTTTGCCCTTTTCGTGACAGAAGTTTGCAGAAGTTTGGGCCGTTTGGGCCCATGGGAAGTGATGCACTCCCTTGTGACTCTGGGATTTCTTTGTTGTTGGAGTTACCTTTGGGACGAAAAGAATCCATCAGTGTGAGATCCAGCGATTTGGGCAGCAAAGTTTGGTCAGCCTTGCAAACCTTGTCGGCCATTCATCGTTTCAAGCTGGATGGCTTTCAGTGTTTGAGACCGGATGGCCATCCTTTGGACTTTCATGAAAAGCTTTCTGCGCAAGGATTGCGGGATGGTTCTAAGCTGCATGTGCGAGAGCAACCAAAGCTTCGCAAACACGAGACTATTGTAGTGAACAAGGAGGACTTCCAAGATGCAAAAAGTGGCAACACTGAGAGGTTGCAGATTGAACCACACTTGTGGAGTCGAGAGGATCGGGAAGTCAAAGCCACAAATTTGAAGCAGAAAGCCAATGATGTTCTGAAAGAAGGAGGCTATCCTGAAGCTCGAGAGATATACTCTGCTGCTTTGGCATGGCTGCCCCCCGAAGATTCAGATGTCGAGCTCGTGGCCGCGCTCTTTGGAAACAGGGCACTGACGCATTTAAAGCTTGAGAGATGGGAGGACGCCAAAGCAGATGCAGAAAAGTCCTTGCGGCTTTTGCCCGGCAATTTGAAGGTCGAATACCGTTTGGGATTGGCGGCTCAAGCGCTTGGGGACCTTGGTGCAGCCGAACAAAGCTTCAAACATGTTCTGGAGAAAGATCCTGATGATCGCGTCGTGAAACATGCTTTGCTGAATGTACAAAACAAAATGGCCAAAGAAGCACAACGGTCTTCCCGAAAGCCGGTGGAGAAGGAGACTCCAAAGGGGATGAAATGGCGATTGGGCATGTGGCAGCAAGGATTTAAACTCCCAAGGCTTCAGCATATTTGGAGAGATTTGCACACAGGGACATCTACAAGTTCTAGCTGCGCTCTTCCAATCGATCATGCAACGGCCCTCTCACAGGCTTGGCGGCATCAGCCGCCATTGAATCAGTTCTTCCACAATTCTCTGACTGAGATGGAAAAGACTGGACCTTTGCACGTCATTGTGTTGGGAACTGGCAACATGGCAGCTGTCAAAGCATCCGCAGATCTTCGGGGAGCTCGGTTTCGCAATGTCACGGTGCTTGAGCCTTCCAAGATGTTGCTGGGACTGGCAGAGGACACCCTGCGATCCAACGGATCCAACGGATCCAATCTGCGCTTTGTCCAGTCACCTGGGCAGCTGGACTCGGAGTTTTCCATCCCAGCTTCAGTATTCCCAGATCCCCCAGATCCACAATCCATGCCCCATTCAAATGAAACCAATGAAACCAATGAAACCAATGAAACCAATGAAACATGTGTTTTGATGTGCGACCGCCTTTCGGAAGACCTGGTTGGTGAGAGGCTGATCTCCACAATGAAAGCGGGAAAAGATGCAGCTCGACGTCTTGGCTCAAAGGTGATGTGTTTGCCAGCAACAGCTGAGTTGGTTTGTGCACCCTTGGAACTTCGATGCGTCGAATGCTTGGGTTTCGACACATCAAAAGCAAATGCACTGAGATTCACAGCTCATGCCAAAGATGTGCCTCCAGCAAGTACGCGAGTGTGGAAGTGTGAGATGTGTTCATGGCGAAATGTGCCACAAGCCAAAGCTTGTGAACTTTGCCGTGGGACACAACGACAACGCTCCGTGGTAGATCAACATCGAGCACGGAGGCAAGACTCTTCTGGATGGTGGCCTTTGGACTTAGATACAGAGGCAAAACGAGCCGGTGAAAACGGATGCATTTGTCGCTTGTGTGGGAAAGAGCAGATCGTGTGTTCCTTCGATTTTAACGAAGCCACCTTTGAACAGCAATGCTTCGTGCTGGACCGAACGTTTGAAGCCAAAGTACTACAACACTGTCATGTGAATGCCATTGCTGCATGGTGGCGCTTGAGAGGCCCCAGTGGAGCCATTGTGGACACAGGTCCCGAAATGGCTGGGAATCCCTTGTCATGGCCTGCCAAGCGCCAAGCGGTATTCTACTTGGGCTATGAAGTCGGTGTTGAACAGGACGAAGTGCTGCGGTTCCGGATGCAATTCTCAGATGAAAAGTCGCGCATCCACTTTGAGATGTTGGAGCCGCGGTTGGTGGATCGCATGGGTTTGATCAAATTTCACATTGATATTGTCAATGAGAAAGTTCTCGAAGAGCTGCATAGTAAACTTGACGTCAAAACCAACAGGCTTTCTGTTGACATGAAAAATGATGCGGGTGGCGGAAGTGGCGCACCATTGCAAAAAGCATTGAAAAGAGGAGATAAGCTTCTGACGTTTGGTCCATTTGATCTTGTTCCAGACACACTCACAGAGGATGTTTGGAAGAGAGTGAGAGACCGCTTGGAGCGCCATTCTTCGCGTCCAAAGCGCGGTGATCAGCCCATTCGCTGTACGTTCCAACACGGCGTTTTTGAAGGCACTCGACGTTGGCCCTTGCCTACGCTGTGCGACGGTGCGATCATTCCGCGACAGCCATCATTCTTCGAGCATTTTGGGCTCTCAGTGACATCCTACTTGGCACTACTGGAGTGCCTTGATAGCACAAATGAACTTCTCAGACTTTTGGATGCTTCTGGGATCATTGTTTCGCCTTATGCCGTCGATTTGTAGACATGTGACATCATGTGACATTGTTGTATCTTCATGTGTATAATATATATATATATATCCCCGATCGAATTTCCCTTACAGAATGGAAGGTGTCGACCCTCTTACAAATGGTTTATATGGGGTCATTTTGTATTTACAACAAGGTCCCTAACCAGGCCTTTTTGTAACAGGGCACCCAAAAGGCAAAGTTGTGGATTTTCAAGTGTTCATTTTGTAAGAGTTTTGAGGTGCAAAGTCATTTTATAAGACCATCGAGTTTGTCTTTTTGAGTCTTTTTGTAAGCTCAAGATGCTGTTTTTGAACATCAAAAAAACAAAAAAGAACTCAGCAGGGTGTGCAATAACATTTTGTAAGGACATGTCGTCAAGACTAGAAGAGCCTTTTTGTAAGAATATATGCTTTTTAGGCATTGATACAAGTTATTGTTCAGATTTGTACATGTTTTTGATTCGCCTCAATCATTTGATAGCTGTTTTGGCTATTTCCGAAAAGGCCCCAGCCCACAGCCTTGACACATCCCAAAAGGTGGCAAAAAATGGAATCCTTACAAAAAGGCTGCTTGAAAATCAACGAGTCCGGGAAAACCAGAAACAGGGAACCAGAAGTTGTGTCCTTACAAAATGATGCCTGAAAACGCCATCTAAAATCACAACTTCTTATAAAAAGGTCATCGGCAAATGTTCGACATCCATATTCGGAAGAAAGTCGTCACCTTATAAAATGGGGTGGGTGTTTGAAGTCGAATGAGGGTGCTAAAACCCTATGCTTTTTGTAAGGGCCAAAACTCGTAAAAACCGACCCTTTTTGTAGGGTTTTTCAAAGACCCAGGGATTTATACTACAAAAAACCTGGTGCGACACCTCCCCCCTAATTCGAAGGAGGATATATATATATATATATATTTGTTATAATTAATATAAGAATCAAGCCTTGCCCGAAATCCCTTGAGGTGGGAAATGCAAGACTTTGTGAAGTCTCATGGCCGATGTCCACAAATCTTGGAGCTGCATTGTAGTCCCGTGCCGCTGCTGAGTATGTGTGCAAGCCGTCAAGGTGCCAGAGCTTGGGCCCGAGCCTCAGATGTTGAAAGTTGATCAAGGTTGGATATCGAATGATTCAATTGATGCTATTTGATTGTATTCAATTTCATGATCGTTTGTGTATGTTTGTGGTATTTTATTATAATATATTAAAATGTATTATATTTTAATAATGTTTAATTGATGTTGGGCTATGTTCATCTATTTTTCTACTCACCCCGACAGGCGGTTGAGGCCATCCCCGACCTTCGAGATTTGGCACTCGAGACGGTTGGACACCGAGTGGTGCAGCCATGGGGTCCATGGAAAAAAGGCGACCCTAATGGCGTATCATGACTAGAAATGGCTAATGATGATTTAATGATTGGGGTTATACAGTTATACATGGTGTTATACTACCCAAATCCATCCAAATCCATCCAAATCCATCCAAATCCAATATATCCCATATATCCCATATATCCAATATATCAAGTATATCCAGTATATCCAATATGACTTGGGGATTAAAGGTTCATCCAAATCAGAAAAGAATCCCTATATAAACCAACCAGTTTTTTATGTGACATCTGAGGTCAGGGATTATGGTCTAGAAATGACCTTCCAACAGCCGGGCCTTGCAAACTATCGCTTCTTTGGCGGGAAGATGTGTCAAGCTGAGAATTGAAACATGGCGAACATGGAATTGCTGAATGCTGCAGAGTCTGATGTATATATTTGATATACTGGCTGGTGACTGGTATATATGATATTAGATATACTATTGATATTCTATTGATTATATCATATCACTTGTTTTTTTTTGTACCGTATTGTACCGTTTTTGGAATGCAGACATTCCGCCATCCATGGTAGACACCATGCATTCCGGCAGTGGAGGCCTGGTGATCCAGCGGTTCGCATCCTGAAACCTTTGTTGAGTACCTCCATGGAGGCCGCGCCCTGAACTGCTGCCCCAAAGGGATGCAACGTAGATGTTTCATGATGTTTCTAGATTCTAGATTCTTTTTGCAGGCAATGACTCAATGAAAATTGCAAATCCTATACCCTACACCAACCCACTTTGTGTTTTTTTTAGCTGTTTCTGTGCAGATTGGAGATCCGAAGTGCTTAGACGGCGACCGAGCCGATCTCGTAGTTTGTCGGCCTGAATCTGGTGGGTCCGGCTGGCTCCTTTCAGTTTTTTGAACTCATGAAGTTTTCCGGCCGGTCACTGGAGGATATTGGCTTCACACAGATGACAGGCCATTGGGTTTGGACTACCTCGAGACGATGTGGCACGCATTTGAGGAGCTCCTAAAGTCTGGTGGTAGGCAGGGAGACACCCAGTGAACTTATTGGTGAACCAACAAGTAAAAGCTGGTGAATGTGACCATTGTGTGACACGGCAAGGCTGGTTCCATCCACTCTGGTGGTTAGAGCAGCTCAGACGCATGAAGGGATTGAGATGGATTGAGTACGGTTTCGATGCAGTTGAGAATGTTGAGATGTGTAATTTGGAATAGGAGATGGCATTAAAGCATGCAGATCATGCAGATTCATTTTCATATCGTTTTCGCGCGGGTCAGCTTCTCTGTTGAGTCAGGTTATGGCAGTGGAGTGGATGCCCTGGGTGGATGCTTCTGCCGAAAGCACCTGCTATCTTCAGCCCATCTTTGGCCTCAAACATCAACAGGCGGCCTGTGAAAGTCCGCCTCCTCGATGCAATGCCAATGTTCAAAAGTAGCATCATGTAGTATCACGTAGTTGCACAAGTCGTCGCCATCGCTGTTATTCTGACAGCACGGAGCGTGTCAGGTGCTGCTCGAGGATTTGAAGCCCTTGACATCCCAGGCCAGTTGTCCCAGGATGTCTCAGGCCAGCATTCTTCAATGAGTTGTGAAAGCTGAGCTGAGGCCACAATTCCAATTGATTTGACCTCAAGGCACAGTGGGGATCAGTGGGCTTTGGTCGCCCTTGGCCGTGCCGTGGGACATCCGTCCAGGCTGGAACCAGATGAGACGGGTGAGCTCGAGGCCAATCCAACTGCTGTGGACTTCACACCACAAGCATTATCGATTGCTCGGCTGAAAGATCATGAAAGGGAAAGATCATGAAAGATGATGAAAGGTCTATGACTTGTCCACGATGATACAAATTCCAATCCAACTAGCACAGATGTTTACGGATCCTTGTGGATCTTTCTTGGGTTTTCGGCCTTTTCGGCCGGACTAGGCCCTAACTAGGCTGAGCTTATATGAATTGGATTGTTTCGGTGTGCAGGTTCATCAAGCTGGACTTGTGACAGCCTTTGCGCTCTGGCATGAGCCACATTCCCCAGCTCTACCACCAGGCGTTGGCAGTTGGTACTGAGAAGAGATCGTGACGCGGGATTTGCATAAAGTCAAAAGGACTTAGACTTACACTGAGTATAGTAGAGTACAATACTGTAATATTGAATTATATACTAACGATGGAAATGGAAAGTGTCACAAATTTCATACGCACGTAAATCCTAGCTGCAGTATTTTAGACATGCACCAGTGACTCACAAGGGTGTATTACAAGACTGGAAAGCTTGCAGCCGGCAGGGAAGAACAAGGGCTACGTGACTGATCTTGCCTCAGTGTTGTGCAGTTCTTGACGGGTGGATTTCTGCAACTATTTCTGCTGTGAGGTTTGCTTTGTCACTCCACAGATGGTCAATCAGGGACAAAGGACAAGCGATGACAAGCGCAGATCGAATTGGAATTGCTGAAGCTACTCAACTTAAACTTGAAACAGAACGGAAAGACGAAAGACATAGTGAATCTGAATAGATGTAGATGAAGTAGCCGTTCATTTCACGGCTGCTTCGTTGTGCAGGATCCCCTTCCATTTGTCCATCCAAGAGTGTGAGCTTACGGCTGCGCTTCCGCGATCAACGGAAGAAACATGCACCTAGCTGTATCTTTGGAGATATGTGATGGAGACCTAGCAGGGAAATGGATCCTCGCAAACAAACTTCCGGTGTTGGTAAAATATGTGACGGCACCATTTCTGTACAGGTCCTGTGACACAAACATCAAGACTATCCATCCAGCGAAAATCATTGAACACAATGGCAGTAGTTTTCATGTGTTTTGCCGTGATTTGTCCTGTTGGTCTGCATTGACTAGTACAGAAGTAGTGAAGCTTTTGCTGTTTTGCTGTATTCAATCATCATCTCTCTACTGCGGCATGAAGCCACTACAAAGACAATTGATTCTCAAGTGATCATATATACTGTCTGGTATACTGTTGTGTCCATGCATTTTAAGCAAACATTGAGAACACCCAGTTGAAATGAATTGAGTTTGCTCGTCTTATCCTCCCAAATTGTCTATGCATGAATGCGTACTTACAAGACCGCATGTTTTTGCATACATGTTTCGCTTACCCATGCGGACAGAGGCAGATTATCTACCTGGTAGATAGCTTCAAGTCGCAGCGTCTTCTCAACATCTTTGTTTATTCTCGATACCAAAGATCGATGACAGCATGTTTCGACGCTTGCATATCCATAGCAAACCAACTCAATGGATTTGAAAGTGAGGAAGCTCAACAAGTTTGTGATGCCTTGTCTTCATCATTAAATCAAGGAAAGGCAAAGGCTTGTTTTCAAGGCTTCAATGGGCAAACTTGTCGGGGGAGCATGTGCGGCGATAATCGCATGGATACTTTGAATACAAAATGTTGGACCAAACATCACTGAGAGTGTGATGATTGTGATGGAGTTGGTTTTGTAAATGTTGGTATTAAATTCATTCACAATACAGAGGTGACCAAATTCATTCGCAACAGATACCAATGATGGTATTAATGTTTTGTTCATCAAAGGAATATGTTCTAAACACTGACCATACAGAAGTGCGATCAACTTGCTGGATTGACCACGCTTCATCCAAAGATTTGGCTTTCAGCGGCTGGTGAAGAGATCAAGAATCCAGCGAAGAGTGCAACTCCGCAGTTGTCCAAGCAGCAAGCACTTTACTCTTGGAGTTTTTAATGTACAACTTATCCATAGCTAAGCATAGCATTCCATAGCTAAGCTTACCTTTTCTAGTGAGTCTTTTTGACACCAAACTGTTTTGACTGTCGCAGCAATGCACAGCAATCTGAATCGCATACCAGACTTACCCCACCACGTGATGACATGGTTTCACCCAGCCCATCCAACGGCAAGCCCAAATGCCACTGCTGTTCTTTGCTTTGGCATCAGCTTCCAGTGAACAGACTTCCCACGATCCGTGCACAAGTATAGCCCTTCATCCTGGATCAAATGGCTGGCTCTCAGCTCGCTGCTGTACATATCCCCAGGAATTACTTCTGCAGTTGGAGAGACCTGCTGAGGTCCACGAAGTGGAGATTTCAGCCCGTGGGGATTTGGTGCCCAAATCTGTTGAGGTTCACCTGAGCAGATCTGATTTGGATAGCGGTGCCCATGGTACCGGAGAGAGCTTTCAGCACGTCTGCACGTTGGAAATGCCGTCGACTGGAACAGGATCTTCAGGCTCAACCACAGCGCGTGGAAGCAAAGGAACCAAACGGGCCAAAGGAAAGATGTTCGCATTGTGTTCAGGGCATGTGAAACTCATTGTTCACGAACCTTTGGTGGCTGGACCCAGCAATCCCTACAAGCAAGTGTCACTCGCCAGTGTTGACATCTGGGGCCATGAGGATGCTCTACCTAGAAAGCCCCGGCTTACATTAGATTTGGGGGAGCAGCATGATGAAATTTCAGCTGTATTGATGGAGCTGGGAGTTCCCTTGAGTTTGATTCCAGTGGATGAAGATTCATCGCGGCTGGCAACTTCGGATCTGGGTACAAAGGCCTTGGTGAAAGAACTGCGTGACAAGGAGGAAGATCTTCTGAGAAGGCAGAAATTTGGCGAGGCTCAACAGCTGGAAGAAAATGTCCAGCAGCTGTATGGCATTGGTCGAGAGCTTAACGAATTGCTCCGCAGCAAAGAGGACGCTCTAAGGGAGCGACCACGAAATTTGATTGAGATAGAGCGCCTGTCTCAACGAATCTCAGAACTGGAGGAGAAACGTCTCCATGTGGCTGCGCTGTATGATACGGATTGGTGGCTTACGGCCATGTCTTTGGCGGTTGAACATGTTGAACCAATTGAAACAGAGAGCTCTCCGAAACCGCAGCTGGACAGAAGCTCAGTGGCAGGGTCAACCCATTCGACACATCACAGCCATCACAGCCACCCCAGCCACAGCTCAGGGCACTCGGAGAACGCTTCAGCTCATTCAACGCAAAGACCAACTGCGGCCTCAGTAAGTCCGGCCAGCCCCAAATCTGCCAGAAACTCGATGCCTAGGAATTTTGGTCGCGACCAAACACAAATCGCGGAAGCTCTGTCAACTGCGCGGTCACAGCCATAAAAAATCGCTTCCAAGCAGAACATCCGTGATAGATTGGAGCAGAGTTCGTCGCAGCCGGGTGGCTTAAGGATCTTAAGGAATTATCATCATAAAGGGTAACTGGCAGTGAGATATTGAGGCAGAAGTCAAAGTTGTTTGTTTTTTTGAGAAGCACTAATGACAGTTCCAGAGGACTAGATGTTTGGCACATGCAGTCTGCATCAAGAGTATGCGAAAGCCGTACATGGTGTATTTCCTCTTCTGACGCAATAGTGATGTAAGACAAGGCACAGCTGCAAATAGTTGCAAGTAACGTGCTGGAACGTCTTGTTTTCTGCACAAGACAAGATACACAAGATCATTGAACCATCCTAATGCACTACTCCCAGAATCCGATGAAAGGTAGCATCAGATCAGAACAGCAAAACGCTATATTTTTTATATTTGTTTGTTGTGTGTTTAAAGCCATGGTCTCAGGCGATATCCTTGAAATATCAGCACCAAGACTGAACGAAGTCGGCCGCATGGCGAAAGTGGAAGAGGTGCCTGGCCTGGCAGAAAACCTGGTCCTGCTCTCCAAAGAGTAGCCTGGATTGCTTCCAACTGCACATTTTTGGTGTCCATGGTTAGTCTGAGATTATTTTGCTAAAGCTGCTGCTAAGTATTGTTGAGTAATTGTTTTCATGGATTTAAGTTTGGGTTTCATATGATGTACTTTTAAAAACAGCAAATTTGGGAGTGACTCGGAGTGACACCTGTTTGATTTTCATTATTTGAGGCAACTGTCCCTCGCTGAGCTCCTGGTATCATCAGGGCAGCAAGAGATTTTTGCCGCCTGGGATGCATCAGGCATCCGGGATGCAGAATCTGGTCAGCATGGCCTCTTTTAAGAACCTTAAATCCCTTGCCCCTAATGATATCTAATGATCACCTTAATCACCTTTCCCAGTAGATCATGGTAGATCCCCATCTTGGAAAAAGCGCATTGAAAAATGCGTTTCATGGTGATGTACTGCAAAGCTGCAAAGGAAAAAGTGGAGTTTTTCAATCAGATCAGCACCCTGGATCGCAACTACCCAGGAGACTTGGCACGCACTAAAATTGCTGTCAATGCGAGAAGATGTAATGTACGAGCACCTGACAGCAAAGGTGTTTTCAGCGCTGCTTCAGTTGTTTTCACAAATCGGAGATGATGCAGGAGGTATTGAGCGCTACTTGCAGAATGCTCGAGGACTGCTTCAGGTGGAGTATTCCATTTGAAATTTGCTTCCACAGCAAGGGAAGTGTTGTGTCTTTTGTAAAGCCTTGCATCCAAGTCCGCTGCTGGCGACGCAGATCGAGAGCATTGCAACCAGTTCTCTTACGCGTAAATCAGGTCGAACATGTGATCACGCATGCTGTCATAGGGTCATCTAATCATTTAATTCAAGATGAGTCGAGATATGTCGAGATCAATTCTATTTGATTTGGACCATTCCAGGCAGCAGCAAGAGCTGAAAATCCACTGGATGGATGGACTCCCTCAGTTCCTCAAGATGGCTTCCAGCCTGAAGTGGGTTCTGAAGCCTTCATGGAGTATGAAGACTTGGGAGCCCGCGAAGTGAAGGGCTGCTGTTTTGTGATTCCAGCCGGAGGCTTGGGCGAACGCTTGGGCTTTAGTGGCGTGAAGTTCGCTTTACCAGCTGAGCTGGTGACTGGTTGCTGTGTGCTGGAAGTGTATTGTGCATATTTGCGAGGGTTTCAATCATTCGCAGAGCGGACTTCCGGCCAGCCGTGTCGTCTGCCGCTGGTCATAATGGCAAGCGGGGATACTGAGTCTGGTATTCGGGCATTGCTGGAGAGTGGCAACTACTTTGGTCTTGAGAAGGAGCAAGTCACCATTCTCGTGCAAGAAAAGGTTGCAGCTTTGGCATCTAGTGACGCTTTGTTGAGCATGGAGGGTCCTTACAAAGTAGGCACCAAGCCGCATGGACATGGTGACGTGCATTTCCTGTTGCACTCTAGTGGTTTGGTACGACGCTGGCATGAGGAAGGTCGGAAGTGGATCCTGTTCTTCCAGGACACGAATACCTTATACCTCACAACGTTTCTTTGCTCCTTGGGTGTGTCTGCCAAGCATGGTTTGCATGCAAATGTTGTAACCATGCCCAGGAAAGCAAAGGAAGCTGCCGGTTCCATTGCACGTTTGACTCACTGGGATGGTCGGAGCATCGTTGCAAATGTGGAGTACAACCAACTGGAGCCACTCTTGAAAGCAACAGGACATCACGAAGGTGACGTCAATGGGCCAGACGGATTCTCGCCATACCCTGGCAACACCAACGAACTGCTTTTCTCTCTTTCAGAATATGTGTCGGAGCTGGAGGAAAATGGAGGGCAAATGCCTGAATTCATCAATCCAAAATACACAGATGAGTCAAGAACGAAATTTAAGAGCCCGACCCGTTTGGAATGCATGATGCAAGATTTTCTGAAAGTGATAAATGCAAGCAAAGCGAAGGTTGGCTTTACTCGTTATCCTTTGACCTTCGGATATTTTCCGTGCAAGAATGATATCATTACTGCAGCACGTCTTGCTTCTCAGGGAACACCCCCACATGGAGCTGCATCTGCTGAAGCTGCCGTCTATGATGCCAATTGCACTATGCTGAGATTGCTGGGAGTCTCCGTAGCAGATGCAGAGGAACGACATTGGAAAGGTGGTCCACAACTTATGGGCCCAGCTGTCGTGCTGTGGCCGGATTTTGCACCTTCCATGTTGGAATTGAGGAAAAGGCTGACGCTGCCAAGTGCAGTGTGCATTGCATCAGGCAGCACCTTGGAAATCCGTGGAGATGTCTATTTGCGGGAACTTGAATTGAATGGCGCCTTACGAATCGTGGCTGGACCTGGAGTTACTTTGCACATTCCAAAGCTGAAAGTGCAGAACCGAAGCCAAAGCTTTGAGGCGCTAACTGACGGCGAACAGAATGGAGAAGCACCTGAGGAGCTCAGGATTCGTGGTTACAGATGTGTAACTTATGAGCTTGAGAGGATAGAAGCGACTGAAGCAGGTGTCTACACACTGACAGAGGATAAGAAGCTCATTCCAAAATTGGAGTAAAACTGGCTTTGCTCAGGCAACTGGAGAAGATCTAGATTTCTTGTCAGTCCATCACATCTCTACTGCGTGCCATTTGCCAATAATGCTCCATGTCCTGCAGAGTAGGCGACCCAAAGTCCTGCAGCAGATCAGGCTCAAAGCTTTGACCTATTTCAGAACAGATCAGTACAGTAGTTGTTCATAGTTGTTGCATCCCTCAATTTTGCAGATTTTGACCGTTTTCAGAAGGAACATCAATTACCTGATAAGAGAGATTAAGAGAGACAGAATAAGTTCTGGTACGTTCTAATGATTTGGTTTTAAGTGGCAGCTGCACAACTTTGGGTAGGAAAGGAGCAGTCCTTGTTTGCTTTGTACTTCGTTGTAGAAATGAACCATGAGTGAATCTGAGAAAACTCAAGTCCTGGCAATCGCAGAGAATTTCCTGCAAGATGGGCCATGCTTCAGGGTGCCACTCTTCGCTACCTTGTACCTCTTCTGCTCTCTGTCCAAGGGCAGAAAGGTATTGGGAGTTTGAACGACCCCTGCGATTGCATGCAACATCATGACTTCTGGGTCGCATCTCGCAGGGGTTTGATGGACATTTTTTGGGCTCCAGATTATCCTTTGAGAGCACTGGATCCAGAGGACCATTTGCACTTCTCTACAAGGAGGCAATCCTGCTTGTACTCACCGGAAAATGAGGAATCACATCGACCAACTGCACTTTCAGATTGTATTCCTGGCTTCATCTTGGTTCACATTGTTTGTATGCAGCGGCATTTGGCCAATCGCAACCCAGAGCGGGCCATGGACTTTGCTACGGAACTAGTTCGACTGCTTCCCTTTGGGGCGTCCTGCATTGACAAAGCGGGATGGCCGATCACTTCTGCTCAAATCTTGGGATATTACCGACGATTTCGTCGGGCTTTTGCAGCCGGGCCATATTCTTTACAAGGCAAACTGGACATGTTGGAACGAGGTCAATACGCTACACAGAGGGAGATGGCTTCAGAAGCTGGATCTCCAGATATTGATCCGTGGCCCAATTGGTTGTTGCGGGAGATGCTGTGGCAGGCACTGGGCATGGGACAGTTTCATGATTCAGATTTTTTTCAGATGCTATGAGATTCTAGGAGCATGACTCCAGTCATCCAAAACCTACCCCTACCATCCCCTACCCTGCAATTTGGAATTTGATCGTGTTGAATTTATGGTTAGTTATAGTTATGATGGTTACGCGTGCAGGTAGGGTCTGAAGGGGACCAGAGGCCGCAGCCTCAATATCTGATGTCTGAGGGTCATGTACCGTAGACTGGAAACCTACCGCTGGCTGAGGCAGCAATTGGGAGAGGAGCCAGACGTGTGTGAAGACCTGAGAAGAACTTGAGATCAAGTTATGTGGATTGACAATGATCATGGGTCATTAAATGTCCCCATTGAACATCACCCAACCATTAGGTATATGGTCTTTTTGATGGCTACTATAAGGTGATGTCCAATATTCCCAAAATGGGACAGTTACCAACCCCTGATGATTCACAGGATTTGATGCCCAAGTTTCACCAGCAGTTTAGGTGTGCCTAATGGTGTGCATAGGTGTGTCGATATTCCTGCTTCAGAGCTTCTTGAAGAGGGAATCTTTTGGCCACCCTCCTGTCGGAAGGTCCAGCTGGAAGCTATCCCGAGGGCAACGCTTGCTGGTTGTTGGGCAAGACTGGCGCTAGCTGTCAGGCTTGGGCGGCATGAAGGGTTGGGACCCAAAAGTGGAAGGCTTTGGGGTCCAAAAGCCTTGATACCAACAGGCATAGAGAGCCCTCAGCACGACCTTGGTGCAAGATTTGACAACTGGGAGCAACCGATTGCTGGGTTGAGGCATGTTGAGGCGAACATGAAATTTAAAAAGGTCATAGCCATAATAGATGAAAGTAGAGCATTTGTTTGGAGAGTCCGGCCGTGCATTGAGTTGCTGCTGCCTCCACCCAACACTGATCATTTTCTACCAGCTTCACATTGCATTCTTTGTGTGCCAGGAGGCTTGCCAAGTGCTTTGTCAGCATGTCATTTATGCCTCACTCAGTACTTGATGTCCTTGTGGATATAGTCGTTAGTGAAGTTTTGGCAAGATTTGCAACAAAAACAAAGGTGCAAGAAGATGCAAGAAGGGCGTAATGAGTCCAAACAAACTTAGGATGCTGGCATGCAGCTTCGTTTGCAAGAGAAAACGGCATCACCTCCTGACAGTGCTCTCGAAGAAGCAGACTGGCAAGCAGCTCAGGTAAATCTGGATTGTAGACCAATTGACTGGCCTCCAAACCACAAAGTCATAAAATTCAGCCTTTGACTCAGACATGTGTAACTGTGTAACATCATTCAATGTAGCATCTCATCTTTGCAGCAACCTGTGTTGTTAGGCCAGCATTGTTTGGAGAGCGGACAGCTCAGTAGTTATGTTTCCAAGAGTAGCGTTTGCATTGTCTCAACCTTGCAGCGATTCTCTTGTGATTAGCTGATCTGCCGTAGCACAGGCCCCATGTACCTCATATAGTTGCCGCCATGAGTGGTCCGCTGCCCCAGTTTGATGCCACATCAGTACCATTTTGAAACTGAAAGATCAGCTTATAGTCTTTAAATGTCTTTAATTGGTACAACTTGTGCCCCTCCAAGGCAACACACCTTCGCTTGGTATTCAACACCCCTGGGCACCGTTTGAATGTCTTGTGTCGACGTCTCAGAGGTTAACCCACAACAGGAACCTAGTCTAGACTAGTCACACCAACAGGATCACCCTGAGACATCCTTTCCAGAGCCCTGCGTTGTGTTTCGACATCGCATCGTTTCGACTGAGGCCGGAAGAATCTCGTTTTCACTTGGCAGCCAGATGGCTGGATCAGGTTCGTTTCATTTCATTTCTCATCATTTCTCAAAGTCCGGATCTAATCATCTAGCAATGGTTTCCATGAATGGGGGTACCCCAATAGTTGGATGGTTTATAATGGAAACTCCCATTAAAGATGGATGAAAACTGGGGGTACCCCCATGACAAAACGGACAGGATCCGACATGGAGCTATCCCCTCTGTGCATTGGCGCCTTGGAGGGCACAGGCACACTGTTTGATCCCCAAAGATGGGGAAAAAATGTGAAAAAAAAACCTTCTGGTAGTGAATGGATTAAGGATTCAAATTCCTAGATGAATACCAGTAGAGCCCGGGCAAGCCGGGTGACAGATGGTGACGGAAGTTTCGAAGGAGGGGAAGACTATAAGGAAAAGGGAGAGCCTATAGGAATGAAGCCTGACCGCCTGGTTGTCACAGTCGTTGACTGTGCATCTCTTAGAACTCTCTCTCTTGACTTCTCTTTCTGGTGCCATTGGTGCCTGCTGTCTGAATAGTTACTATCTATATATAATACTTACGACTAGTACCAAGTAGACGCATATCCCCTAGGATCCATGTATGCTATATATGGTAACATTTACCATCAATATACCCCCAATGTTAGCATATATACCATACATGGATCCTATGGGTATGATTATGATTTTCACTTTTTGTACATCCCTACTCACCCAAAGATGTTTCTTGAAGCGAAGACTGACAAGGCCTGTCCTTGCGCTCCCATTGAGATGCAAACCATTCAAGGGATTCTCGAGGCGAAAAAACGATGTGTTCGTCACCTGTTTGGGGACAAGAGTGGGGATTTGGGGTTGTATACACTACATGGGTATGGGTCAATACCTATACATACCATTTTTAGGGGGATGAACATCCATTTACCAGCTATTTTGATGTTCACCAGGGGGATAGGGTTTTGACACACTGCCACATGAGGAAGTCAACAAAGTCAACATCACCAGTCTTCACAATCCACGCAACAAGATGCAGGCGATTCCAATGTGGCCATCAGCAGTTTGAACGACAAACGCGGCCCACAGTCGATTGAACTGAATGTGTGGAGAATGCCTAAAAATGGCATATTTCCATACTTACAGGTTGGAAAGTCTTAAAGTAGTACTCTAGACCAGCGCAAAGACACTGGTGCATTGATTTGTAAAGTTGCTGAAAGAAAAGGCCTTAGTCAGATTTTGCATACGAGATGTACAAAATGTCTCATGGCAGATGAACATGTGCCAACCGCGCCTTGGTTTCTCAAGCTTGTCTTTGGGATGTCAATCAATTGTATAGAGGGTTTGAAATTGTGCCTTGATTGTGTCGTGTTTGCCGGCAATCTCGTGGTCAAAGCTGTCACCACTTACATAGCGTGCAAGGTGCATTAGATACAGCAGCCAATGGGCGCATGATCACCCTTACCATTGGCAAATTGTTTGAGGGAACAAACTTGGACTATCAAACTTTGACTATCGAAGTGAAGCAGCGGATGCTGATCAGAGGAAGATGATGTCAATCAATTAGATATTTAGAGAATATATTATATATTATAGAACCAATTTTATATACATTCATGATCATTAATGTATAGTACATGTGTAATCTACAATATATTACAGCTTCCATAGCGCAATGGAATGGCCGGTAAGCACTAGACGAAGTTTTAAGCCATGGATGTGGCAAGGGCTTCAGCCTCAGCCGAGCTGATGCTGTCAGCATGGAATCTGTGGGCTCCGCGGGGCTCAGGATGAAAAAGGCAACGCCTGCAGGCTGATTGAGGCACTGGAGGAAGGGAGCCGGTCCCTCAGTGCCATTCCATGCCATTCCCCAAGTTTGTACCCTCTGGTAATTTAACGTAGCTATGGAAAATCACCATTTTCAATAGCTATGTTAAATTACCAGAGGGTAAATGGGATCTGTAAATGGGATTTGTAGGACTGAGGGGTGTTTCACCGCCAGTTGTTGATGAATGGACGTAGCAGCTTCCTTTGCATCGACAGACCGATGTTCGGTGACATGAAATGATTCATCACAGGTGGCTTCAACTCAGAGGCTTCCGATTGCCAGCAAACTTTGTTGAAAGCGAAAACAGCGAAGCCTGAGATGCTACTGCAGCAAACTTCACTTTGCCATGCCAAAAATGAGCAGCTGCACCTGACATGATCAGGACTCCTCCATAATACATTCGCCTTTCCTTGGAAATGGTAACATACGTCAAAACCCAAGAGATATGTTGCTTTTGCATGATTTTGCTGGTCAATCTGGACATATTTGCAATGGGAGAATGGAAATCCAACAGCTACCCGAGGCATCAGAGGTCGGAGACCTGCGTGCCACAGGCAGGGTTCCTGCTGCAGTGATGGTTGGAACATGTTGGAACTTTCTTGATTCTGTCGTTGTGGCGATTCCATAGCAAATTCACTTTCACTCGCATTCTTGACTGCTTGACTAATTACTGATTCTGTTTTACTTTGATGCTGAATTGAGGCACGTTTTTCATTTTTCAACCTGCTTCATTTGAAGAACGATTGCACATGATTGCACCATGTGGCTGCTTGCAGTTGGAACAGCGATACAGATCTCCCGGAGCTGACACAACCTGCGGAGGAGGAGTTTGCTAGGGCGAACTGAATGTAATTAGAGCTCATGCGTGTACAGTTTCCGTATTTCCAGGGAAGGTTTTGGCTCATGAAGCCCTCCGTGGCTGCAACAGCACTGGTCTTTCATTGATGAAGCCTTTGTAGTCGAGGAGCACGAATGGACGGTGGGTCAGACTCGGTCAGGGACTTCGGAGTGTGTCATTTGATGCTGCGAGTCCAACATCCACGAAGTGGGAAGGGATGGAAGGACCATGAAGGACCCTTTGAGACAACATTCTTGGGGTGCGTAAAATATCGTAAAATCATGAGAAATTCCAGAAGCATCAGAAGCGTTCGCGTTTTCAAGGTTCTCTTCCTTTGGTGGCTCTGCTTTGGAGTTGCGCTGGGAGGACAGCTTAGTTTGAATTGACTGATGCGTTGCGCCAGTCTTCAAACACAATTTTACAAGTACGTGGAGTCATCATGTAGATCTAAAAACAGTTTTGGTTTGAAGTTTCGCAGGCTTTATCCATGTGCTCGTGGCAAGTCACCCGAAAGCACCAGGAGGAGCGCGTCGCGAATATCAATGTTGAATTTTGTGTTCTTCAAGATATGTTCCTTTCTTTTGCGTGTATTGAGTGTTGAGGCAGTTCAAATTCTGACCAACGTCAGCGGGGCTGCCAGGCAGGAGCAACATTTCAAGATATTTCAAATACATTTCTTTTACCCGACTTCCGGAAATCGGCGTTTGTCACAGTGTCACCAGTCCTGTCACCTTCGGACCCCTTGGGACCTTCAGGGCTGGAAGACTCACTTGCATTCTGGGCCCCAGTGGATCTGGAAAGACTACGCTACTGAATGCAGGGCGCCCAAGTCGCCGCTGTTGGAATCTGTTGGATATCGTCCCGAGTCGTCCGAGGTCTTAGCAGGCCGCCAAAGCGGTGGTCAACGGCATCGGATCAGGATCACTGGCCAGGTTTGGATTTCTGGTCAGAGGGTTGATCCACGACTAGTCAGATCACGCATCGCATATGTCACCGCCTCGGTTTGCTGCAACAGCTCTGGCCCATACAGTGATGCTGATATGGAGGTTTCCATAAATGGGGGTAGCCCAAAATGGATGGTTTATAATGGAAAATCCTATTGAAATGGATGATTTTGGGGGTACCCGGGGTACCCCCATTTCAGGAAACCTCCATATGAGCAGTTTGATTCATTCATTCACACTCTCAGGTGATGCAAAAAGATGAGATGTTTGCCACTTCCACTCCAACGGAGGTTCCAGTGGGTGGTCTTCGTTGCATCTGTAGGGCACAGAAGTTGCTGAAAGACACTGTACTATCATCTACTATAAGATACTCTCATGATATCTCCATCTTTATATCATAATATAGTATTATCAATTATCTCATATACATATATATATATATATACATACACATACAATCACATACATACATAATATAATTATCTGACTAGGCCGGCGTGTGTTGCTTTTGTTGCACGGCTGGTTGGCGCTCGCGAGGCTTTCAGTTTCTCAGCTTCTTTGCGCCTTTCCGGCCCTCGGGACCGTTGGATTCAAAAGAAACTGCTTGGAGAAAACATGAAAAAAACATGGTTCTCCATGGTCATCCATGATCATCATACGTTATTGTATCCTCGACAGGAGGATCGGAAGGAATTGATCTCCGAGCTGCTGGGTTCCTTGGGACTGCGAAGTTGCGCAGATACGTGTGGCGCCCAGCAGATATTGGATTATTCATGGTGATTCATTGCGATATATTGCGATTAATTAAAAAGGTAGCCATCGACTGTTGTCCCTCCAGGTACATTGGCAATGCAGTCCTGAACGGCTTGTCTGGAGGTCAAAGAAAGCGGACCGCAATTGGCGTCGTGACCTTGGGGGTTGTGCCGCTGAACAGCGTGGCTGTTCCCTCCGCAGAGCATGTTCTGAAGTAGATCCAAAGATATCGAAAGTGAATATTTTGCACATTTTTGCAGTATGCCTGACAATATGATGCAATATGATGCAATATGATGCAATATGATGCAATATGATGCAATATGATGCAATATGATGCAATATGATGCAATATGATGCAATATGATGATACAATATGATGCAATATGATGCAATATGATGCAATATGATGCACAATATGATGCAATATGATGCAATATGATGCAATATGATGCACAATATGATGCAATATGATGCAATATGATGCAATATGATGCAATATGATGCACAATATGATGCAATATGATGCACAATATGATGCAATATGATGTAATATGATGCAATATGATGCAATATGATGCAATATGATGTAATATGATGCAATATGATGCAATATGATGCAATATGATGCACAATATGATGCACAATATGATGCAATATGATGCACAATATGATGCACAATATGATGCACAATATGATGCACAATATGATGCAATATGATGCACAATATGATGCACAATATGATGCAATATGATGCACAATATGATGCACAATATGATGCACAATATGATGCACAATATGATGCACAATATGATGCACAATATGATGCAATGTGATGCAATATGATGCATAATATGATGCATAATATGATGCACAATATGATGCACAATATGATGCAATATGATGCAATATGATGCAATATGATGCACAATATGATGCACAATATGATGCACAATATGATGCACAATATGATGCACAATATGATGCACAATATGACATGGCTAACTTTGCTGCATAATTCTTGTGGACGTCATTTTTGCCAGTGAGCTATCCAACAGCAGACCAACAGAGGTCGAACTCATTACTCGTCCAGACATAGTTTGTTTGGATGAGCCGTAGCAGTCTCAGATGGGGCTCCCCTGGAGGGGACTTTGGGACACGTTCATTTGATGATGCTGCTTATCCCGTCACACTTCCACTCACAGCTTTCCTCACACGCCAAGCCCCCGCACTCACCCAACCGCATGTGTGACAGAACCTGTGCGAAAATGGTTTGTTTGGCACCATTATTTGACCAAAACAGTAACTTCATTTACGCAGTGCACATGTCTCACAGATTTCTTCAAAATCCCTGTGCCAGCCAATTTGACAGACTTGATTTTTGGATATTGTTGGTATACTTGCAGGAATTTGCTTATCACGCGTCTGGGCCAACCAAACTGTGGGAGAAGTGTACGAAGATCTGTGGTAAACGGGTAAATGCGCGCAAAACGTGCGCGAAAATCCGCGCGTGGATTGTTCGCCCGTCCGCTGACTGGACGCAGCCTGGTCCATCCACCCACCAGCTTGCATAGCTAACCCTTCTCAGGCATTCAATTCCACCCCCCAGCCCTTTTCATAGCCTCACTCGGCCTCACTTTAGTCGCACATTCGCTTGTACTGTTTCGCATCTGAGCTGCCTGGCCTGGATCCACTTGCATCGAGTTCCTTCAAAAAAATGGGTGGTGGCTTTTGGTGATGGTGACTTGTGAGATGCTGGTTTGTGGTGATTTTGAATGTCCATAACACGGAAGTTTCTCATCTCATTCTTGTTTGGTCAAATTTATTCTTATCATTATCAAACCCTTTTCCAAACTTTATTCATCCATTTTTGCAATGTTATCTCAGTTATCTCTAATTTACCTCTATCAAACCCAACTAATCTCTATGCCACTTTTATCCAACCAACATTATCTCCATCAAAGTTGCCTCTATGTCAACTTGTCTCCATTAAATTTACCACTAGCAGGCTTACCTCGATCAAATTTCGGTTTATCAACTTATTTTTATCAAAGTAACGTTTAACACGTTTAACAATTTTACCTCTATCAAAATTAAATTTATTTCTATCGAACTCAGCTCTGTCCATTTCTTTTCATCACACTTACCTCTGTCAAACGTACTGTTTCCAAGTGTTCTCCATCCAACTTGAGTGTCATGTCTTTCTTGTAATATATCGATGCCTCGTATTCTGTGATTTGAGACAGCCCATGCCATCTCTCTTCCTTTTTGAACTACAGGAAGGTTTAACATGTGAGGTCATCCAATCCTCCAATACGTATGTCATTCGTTCCTGCCTTGGTTTGCTGCGTGAATTCTCCATATTGAGGACAAGTGGGCTGGATTCTTTCGCTGCATATCAAGCAGGGACCTTATGTGGCAGAACCTCAAAGCAGCTAAGAAATTACAATCGACCAGCGCCGGCCGACTGCAGGTCATGAATGTCCTGACAGATTTGGCCAAAGCAGGGTGCACTGTCATTTGCCTTCCTCTCAGAAAAAATCCTGTATGATTCAATATTATTCTATTGACATTCATCAATATTCTATATATGACGATGGTTGCGGCAGTGTTTGAAGAATCTTTTGCAACATGATTATCGTTATTGCTCTATTCCATGTTCCCATTCCTAGGTACATTGCACCAGCCAAGCAGCGAGATATTTGCCCTCATCGACCAGGTAATTTGCAGGAGTCCCATTTCCGATTCAACCTACTTCAACAGATTGAGTCTTCCAAGAACATCCTGCTGAAGCATGTTGAAGCCCATCATTGTTGCCCATTGTGTTGCCGTATCGTGTCTTTGATCATTGGGCTCCCAACAACTTCCACTTGATCCAACTGGTCAACTGAGGCCTTTGTGGAGGTCACTGCCTATGGGCCGGTGACAGGGATCAGATGGCCAGCCACTTCACCAAGGCAGGGAAATGATTGATTACTACGGCATAGACCCAACACATTAGAGTACTCTAATGTGGCCATCTAATATACATATATAATAGCATCATATGAATGATCACATATATATATTAGAATAATAATAATAGTAACAATAATAATGATAATAACAATTATAATAATAGAATACTAATGATATTAAGAATGATATTAATAATGATATTAATAATTATATTAATAATGATATTAATAATGATATTAATAATGATATTAATAATGATATTAATAATGATATTAATAATGATATTAATATATATTAATAATGATATTAATAATGATATACACTCTATATATATAATATGATCTTATTTGGGAATTGTGATCAATGGATGAATCGGTTCAATTCTGATCCTTTAGGACTGGCACAAAGGTCATCAGTTTGTCTGAAAATAGGCTACCCATGGCTACCCATGGCTACTGAAATAAACCAATGGTTTATCATTTCAATATAGTTTATCAACATATCTCCTGTTAAACTATATCAAGAAATTGCCATTGGAGGCACCAGAAGCATAAACACAGACAGCCAGAAAACAGGTCTAGGCCCTGGCACCAGGTGGGATATCCTTGCCCTGTGGGCTTCAACCCTGCGGATTTTGTCATCTTTCTGATGCAGACGGACGGAAAGTGAACAGATGTGCTCTGAAAAACGGGGGATGGGTCAAGATGACTGGATCCCAAAACTGATCAAAACTGATTCACTGATTGGAGTTTCTTGAAGTCTAAAATTGACCAAATGCTCCGAGTCCAAATGGTCCACAAGCCTGGCAGCCACGAAGCGGATGATGTTTGGAGGAGCCCAAGACAAAGACGGATGAACTGATTCGCATTTGGACCCAGGAGCAAGCCGAGGTCGGTGTTTTTTGAACAGTCATCAGCAGTCGCTATGCCAAGTTGTCCACCGGACAGGCGATGCTCCATCGAAGCAGTGAGTCAGGTCTCTCCGTAAGTGACTTGTTCGCATTTGGAAACTTTGCTGTCTTATGATGTTTCATTGTTTCAACAAAAGTGTAGTGGTGGGACACAGCTGGTTGGTGTATGTTGGTGTTGTTTTAAATGGTTTAAATGTGGTTCATTCTTTGTCCCCCAATTTGGGATGATGAATCTAGATCGATCCTTAAATATTCTTTGTATGGATCAAAACCACAGCCAACTATACAGAATTTGTTTCCATCTCAAGCACGGTAAACAAGCTGCCAACAATGGTTTTGTTTGAACATGGTGGATCTCTAATTCCACGGGTGAATATGGTTTCATCATCATGTTCCTATGTGTTCCCCATAAAAAGTGCGATTTCTGGGTATTCCCCATTTTCAGACACACCCTAAGATGGTAGTTGTTGCCCAAGGTTCAGCCGCAGATGAGCATGAGCTTTGCAGGCAGGAATCAGAACTTGATGACGCTTAAGGATCTCAACAGTTCTTGATGTTAAGTGATAAATAATATTGAATTAATGTTGAATAACTATTTTTGATGAATCAATGTTGAATTCAGGCCACTTTGATTTTGTTGCGTAACTGTATTCTGTTCTTTCATTGACCTTTCTGATTTTTTTGCCCCAATGCGTCAACGCTGAGAATGCTGCAGGACTCCAAAGGGCCGTGAACGAAGAGCATTTTTTGCATCATCAGTGGGGAGACTTAGCTGGAGAGTGTTTGCACTTCTTCATTTCAATGGCCATGTACAGTATGGCCATGAAACAGCCAGAAAGCACCAGAGGCGCCTGACCTTTTTCACCATTTGTTACCTACGTTTCACCACTTTTCACCATTTTTCACCAACTTTTTCAGGTTCAGAAAAGCTTTGGCAAACAGCTGAAGCAATTGGCCAAGCGGGAATTGCGAGCCGTGGTTCGGGATCGAACCACCCTGGCAGTGAGGTGCCGATGGTCGTTGTTCCATGTTGTTCCATGATGGAGAACAAGAAGAAAAGATAAACAGAGGCAATCAATGTATCCCCTATTACATGCCCATTAAAAGATTTTGACAGTTGCATTTTTGTTGATAGTTCATCATAGTTCATCACCATTTAGAACCAGATGAATACATATTCGCAATTTCGCCACAGGTTCTGCCTCTCAGTGGTTCTGACTTTCCTCTTTGGCCTCGTCTTTCAGGGGGTGGGCCGAGTCCTCAGATGTCGGCCGAGTCGTGTCAAAGTGTCCAGCAATGTCTCAGCTGTAGGTCGAACCATTTTGGAGACCAAGGATCAGGTGCAGTTCTGGGTTCAATGTATTCATAATATATGGTCTTTATATATATATATATATTATATATATATATCATTATATCTATATATATATATCATTATATATATATATATGTTTTTTATTTAGTGGAATCCTTTGTGGATCCTGAAGATCTTGTTCATGTGGCAAGTTGGTGCCAACACTCGACACTTGGCCAGAACATCTTCGACCAGATGTGGACGGGTCTCTCATATGCTGAAGTCACTGCTCTGCGGAAGCGGAAGCTTGAATGGTCACGACCTGAGAGATGAAAACTTGGATTTTGTTTTCTGGGTTTTAAAGCCTAAAACATCCTAAAAACCTTGATTTTCTTGGTCTTCTGCCCTTGTGTTTGAGGCATTTCAACGCTTTGGTCCAAGTTGCCCTGGTGGCGATGTTCAGGCTGAGACCACAAAGCATGAGAAAATCATAGAAAATCTGCTCCATCAAAGTCATAGGTATGCATATGGCATATATGGCATACCCTCTGGTAAACTAACATAACTATGGAAAATGGCCCATTAATAGTGGATTTTCCCATGAAAAATGGTGATTTTCCATAGTTATGTTAGTTTACCAGAGGGTAGTATGTCCGGCCCTTTGTTTTATGCATGAGACTTAGACCCCTTGCTCCGTGCATCTCCGTGCCCAGTGCCTGCCAACCGGTGATTCTGACATTTCCGTTGGAGAGATCAGTGCCCCGAGCATTCGGCAGTTCACATTTCTCTGACAGGTCACTCCTTTTGTTGAATGGGAGTTCGAACAGAAGGAGCACAGTCATCAGAATGCATCATAGGATTACATCACAAGAACTCCAGCAGAGTTTGGGAGGGGGTAGTGTATATGATGGTGCATGTGGGATACGATGGATTGCGATGGTATACGCTTGCTGTATTTTAGTGTCCTGGTTTGACGCGAGAGATCTTGTGACTGCAAGGCAAGTAAGTTGCACCATTTCGTTGGTTTTTCAGGTATTCCTTCGGGAGTACAGCAGTGGCACCTACAGACGCTTGTTTCAATTTGGAAATGTGAGTTTCTATTTGGAAGAATGGTTGTGTCTGTGCCTGTGCGCATTCATCTTGCACCAGAACAGATGGAGAAAACATTAGAAAACAAAAATGTTGGAGGAGCCATGAGAGCAAGCCAGATGTTCATAGATTTTCTCCGAGGTGTGTTGCCATACTACATGTCCAAAATGGTCGTCGAGGCAGGAAATGGAGCACTGTTGGGCCTAGCCTTGTAGAGTTGTGCAGAGCCAAGGTCCCTTTGGTATTTGTGCAGTCGCTGATGACGTGTTCGCCTTGGCTTTGTTTGCTTGATGCCATTGTCAGGTAGATTCATAGCATATTCATAGCTATTGCGCAGGGATTGATTGAGTGGCAAGGCTGGGACTGTGCTACGTGGTGATGCCCGGAGCTTTGTTTCAGTCGAGTTTCCTGCAGTACCAATGACTTGGTTTCACCAATGGTGGAGCAGGTCATTGAATGGGAACTTTTGGTTCGACGCTGAGGGTGGTTGGGAGACAATAATACTTCAACGCTTTGTTGTTTTCAAGTCTTCGCTCCAATTCAGCCATTGTGCTCAGGGCACTGCTATGGACTATCGTGCTTCTTTCGGATGCTTGCCAGCAAATTGTAATTGAGTAGAATGTGTGGAAGAGGTTGGAAGTGCATTTGAGTCATTTGTTCCTTCTTTGGCCAAATCACCTGACACCCGACTTGTTTGGGAAACTTGAAACTGGAAACTCCCCAGGTGCTCCTGCCGTGAGCAACAAAAAAGATGTCAGCCAGTTGAATCGCAGATCTAGTGCTGAGCGGAGTTTGAACCAAGGTGTGCTCAGTGTCTGTTGCTCTTGCCATCAGTTGTGCGGTGGGCCATGCATGTTGCAGTAAGCCGGAAGTACCTTCTAGAAATTTAACATAGCTATGGAAAATAACCTCTTTCTAAATAGGTAAATCATCACATGGGTCATGTCCCATCATTTTCCATAGCTATGTTAAATTACCAGAGGGTAACCAAAGCAACCAAAAACGGAACTTGACTGCCAGAGTCAACAGCAATAGCCAGGTTCGACAACCTCGAGAAACTGGAGCAGTGGGGTTTGCCTCCCAGTGTTGGTTCTTTTTTTTAGGGCCAAAGCTCTGATAAACTTGAAGGGACTGAATTTGAAGCCCATCCATCATATGAAATACCATAAAATAGCATAGAATAGCAACCTTTTTGAAGGCTCCCCAAAATGAATGGATCCAGTACTAAACCAGAGTTTCTGGTGGATATTTCATGATTTTAATCGCATAATGGGGATAATGGGGATGGGATTTCCCAGCTGTGACTGTCCTGTTGAACTGGTTTGATTCAACATGATTCAACCATTTGAACCGAGACCATTGGTTTTTGTGCCGCAGATGCTCTTCTCAGGACGGAGAATTCCCACATCCAGAAAGGGATCGGTCTTAAAATGTGATAAATGGATATATATATATATATTATATATAAGACACATATATATATATATACTGTATATATATAATATATATATATATGGTGGTACACATGGTACACCCTCAAACCTCGTCAAACTAAATGAACGATGTGATGCGGAAATGACGATCAACTATAACTACAAGATCTATAAGGAGATTTGGGGTATAACTATATAATCCATATTTGTGCAGATAAAAGGACGTTGACAGTTCATAGCAATGTCAGGATGATGAACATCTTGCTGTCAGGAGTGTTCATCCCGGTCAGCCACATGCCAGGCCAAGATTGGTTGACATCCTTCTGCACGCAGACACTGTTTTGATTTGCATTGGAAGAGTGATGTGCACCAGTCTATCTACGCTGGATGCAGTACTTCAGCTTCCTTCAGTTTGGCCCCCAGCATGTTTTCTTTTGTATAGGTTTACGTGCTAACACGTTTGGAAAGGATTTGTGTCCTTTCACATTCACACCCCAGCACCGTTTGAGCTGCTGTTCAAGATGTCAGCACAGGTACGCTATCAAGATCCTTGGGGTGGTGGAATTCAAGAATGTTCCCCACAAAGAACTTGTACTAGACGCACAGGACCGCCATTTGATTCTAGTGACTCTAGTGATCTGCAATTCATTTTGCTACCTTGCTTTCGCAGAACAAAACCTGCAAAAGTCCTTTGTCTGATTTGATTGCTCCAGTTGGAAGTGTTTTCTGGAGGATTCACTAGACACACATACATAATCAATCATAATCATACATACAGTATCATATAGTTATATAATGTTATACAATGTTAATGCGTCACTCAGCAGGGCAATGTACCTACCGCAGACTCCGCTGGAAGAAGCTCTTGGACCTCCTGATTTGGTCCAGTGAAAACTGCCAGTTTTTACCTAGTTTTTTCCCAGTTTTCCAGGACATTCTTGAGGATAGTGTCCCAGTCTATGTAGGCTTCCTCGTGATGATGGCCTGGGCCCCAGGGCCTTGGTGTTTTTTCAACGAGACGACCGGGCCCCTCAGACTGAGCTTGGTGACCATCTTGCTGCCAGGTGCTGATCTTCTCCATCACCGGCATTCAGATGCTGCGAAATAAAGCAACCCATCTATTCTGAACGGTCACAGATGGTCACAGTTCCCATATGCAGGCTGAGCCCACCAAGAGCAACCCCGGCTTTCGGCAAGTTGATGACACAACAGTTGATTCGGAACTCGAACAAGTTGTCTCACTGGTTTAGTACCTAGTAAACTTTGATGCCAGTGATGCTTTCACAAGGGCTGTGATATCAATAAATTCAATATATCAAGATCATATTGTGATGCCTTTTCCTGTGTTTGGAAGCCTGGGTTTTTTACATGCTCTTGTGGACCTGTACAAAGCTTGGAGAACTGTGCCCGGAGCCTTTCATCTCGGTTCAATGATCAAATTAGAAATTTTAGAAAAGGAGCGATGGCGGAAAGGCTGTACGAAACTTGTCAACATCAAGATGACACTGAAGGTCCCATCAATGTTCTTAACAGATACAGTCGTGTAAATCATTTGCAAGCAGTGTATACAATATACATCAATATACTTTAATCATGTTACTGCTTATGTACTTTTGACTCTATATGAATTGGGCAATTCGGCAATTCATTGATGTTTCGGCTCAGCTTCTGCGTTACGAAATGATGAATGTGTTGGAAGGAGTGGTCAACTGGGGTTTAACACTGTCAACTCGCAGGAACGCAACATCGATGGAGGTCGTTCAAAAGCCTTATGGAGGCTGCTTCAAGATTTGTTTTGATGTCATCTTACTTTGAGAAAGGTGGGGCACCAAAACCCCAACTTTGCCACTGCAATGGTTGGATCACAATTTGGCGATGGCAGAGCCGGCGAAGAACGCCAGGAGCCAAAAAGCAGTTGCAGAGGGTGAAGGTAGCTGCAGGTCACAGAAAACAGCAAGGAAAAGTTCAGCGAAAGTGTAGATGTCATTAGATGTTGCCCTGGAGGTTGGAGTCACTGTGTTGCGGATGTTGCTGTTTCATGCTGTTTCACCATTTTTTCGGACAGCGATGAACAGCCCATTGGAAGGAGGCCATGCAAAGCTCAACCAGCCGGGCGCCACCTTGCTGCAGCAACAGTGCAAATCAGCCGCCTTGGACGAGAGCTTCGCTGGCAAGAAGCCATAGCATGCTTGGAGGACAGGATCAACAGGTGCTTCACAAATTTCAAAGGAGATGCAAACGAGTCTACATAGTTTACTGATGTTTACTGATGTTTACTGATGTTTACTGGCTGATCTATTGGTTTTTCCGATTGGTTTTGGGATGTTTTTGGAATTCAAACTTTGCAGGAATTGGAGCGTTCAGAGGCAGAGCCAGACGCCATTCTCAGAAATGCTGCCTCTTGGATGCAAGAAACATGGTCGAGTTTGCCACGCGCTACAGCGTATTTGAAGTCAAAAACCTGGAAATCAGTGAGTTCTCTTGTCTCAAAAATGCTGTAAGGTCATGTCAGCTTGCGAAAAGGCCGGTGCAAAAATTCTAGCTGGATATAGCTGGATATAGCTGAAGGGCTGCAAACACTTTACTTTGCTTCAGAGCTGCCAAGTTTGGAACTCGCACAGCAGGCCTCAAGGTGGATTCAAGCGATTCAACTCATGGATTTGGTTGGATTCTTAGAACAGATATGGATGGTTAGCCAACCCGAAGAGCTCCTGTGGCTTTGAAACATTTTGAAACGCTTCGGAACTTAGGGCCGTCGGGCTGGATACACTCCAGATGCCTTTGCATACACGTCCTGCCCCTTCCTGAGATTGCCGTGCAGGTTTGTTGATTCGTAGGACTTTCGCAGTGGGTTCTGTGGATAGGCATCAATTCTGATGTTCAACAGCAGGTGTCAGGTATCAGCTCAGGTGGCTACAGTAGGATGCGAGTCAGTGAGCTAGAATGATCTAAAATGTATGTGTGTTGTGTAAAGATAGTTTACCCCATCATCATGTTTCCCATTCAAATTGGTGTTTAGGGGTATTCCGGTATTCCCCATTTTGAGACACCAATCTGATGTATTTTTTGGTGGCAGATTCCGGGAGCCACAGGTATCACTGGTTGCGGAAGGCCAAGCAGCCGGCCACACAGAACTCTGACTCGCAGAAGATTCTCATCCAGCAAAAAGAGGCTGCTGAATGGTAAGGATGGATAGACTCCGTGCTGCTCTTTGGATTCATGAGGACTTCTAATACTTCTGATAATCTTCTGATAATCTCCTGAGACTTCTGAGACTTTGAGAATGAGAGGATTGTTCAAATTGAAATTGTGTTTGACAGTTGGGTATACCCTCTGGTAAACTAACATAGCTATTGACTATTGAAAATGGCCATAGAAATAGTGGATTTTCCCATTAAAAATGGTGATTTTCCATAGTTATGTTAAATTTTTGACAGTTGGATATAGTTGGATATACTTCTTCAGATTTTCAGATCTGCCATTTGATCCGCAGGAAGCATGGGCCAGTGCCAAGTGTCGTCACATGCAATGCTGCTCTTGGAGCTGTTGGCCGAGCCAAGCGATGGGTCCGAAACTCAGGAACTTAGGGTTTAGTTATAGTGTGTCGTACTTATAGATTGGCAATGTTTGGTACACTTTATTGATCTTTATTGGTACAGCGATATATCTGGTACACTGTATAATATAATTAATATAAATGGATAGACAGCTATAATATATTTCATATATATATATTGTATATATATTTATATCATACATAATTATAAATCATATAAATATACAATTGTATATATATATATACATATTATACATAATTATAAATATAGTGATAATTTCACTGGTCATTAAACCTATATTATCTTTATAGGTTCGTACTGTGAGTATACCTGACTAACCTTCCTACCTCTGTCTCGAGCTCCAGTGATCTCAAGTCATTGCATCTCCTCCAAGGATTTGTCCATGAAGCTTCTCCGAAAGATGTGTGGGCTGCTGGGCCCAGCATGGCTTGTCATGTTCTCAGCATGGCTTGGCATCAACAAGCCATCAACATCAACATCCAAGGCCTGACAGACATGGGCTTCCAGCAGCGAATGTGGTAACATTCAACACAGTCGACCCGGCAGGCTTGAAAGCAGTATATAGAATGGCCCAGAATGGCCCAGAATGGCTTCGAAAAGTCAACAGCTTTCTGAATCTCCAAGTGCTGCATATGAATGCAGATCATGGCTGATGCCTACAGTGCTGAAATACTGCTTATGATTCGCAGACGAAAGGCTGCAACAACAACGATAGAAGCAGCATGTCCGGGGCCACAGCAAATTTGCTGGAGATTGCTGGTGTAAAATCTGAAAGAATTCAAAGAGATGGCAATAGAAGTGCTGGGTGTTGAGTAGACGACGATATAGAAACATTACCTGCAGGTTGGCCCATAGCAGTGTGGCTGTGTGCCATGCTTCAGATGGAGGGCCAGAGCCTTGGAAAGCCTATGGTGTGATGTTCTTCGAAACGAAGACTTCTGAGAGTTGCCCGTAGCAGCTCCCAAAAAGATGGGAAAGATTAGGAAAGTAAAATCCTATAAAATCCTACTAGAAATGAGTGTTCTTTCGCGACAGGTTCCGACAGACTTAACGCAGCTTTTTTTTGATGTCCAGGTTTGCAGCCCGATGAAGTGACGAAGAACATCGAGATCAGTGCTTGCCGTATCCCCAGTGATCTTTTTTGCGCTGAGTCGCAGCAGGGGGAGGTCATGCTGCCGAGGTCAAGCTGCCAGCAATTGGAAGTTGGCTGTAGACCTCGCATCCAGGATCAAGGGGACATGAGGGGACTTGACTCAACAGGGGACCATATGTTTGGATAGTTTTGGAAGATGTTGGAAGTCTCTCTGACCCATCTATGATCATCTATGATCATCTATGATCATCTATGATCATCTATGATGCTGTGAGTGGCGCAGGAGTCCTGGAGTAGTTGCTGCAACAACTGCCATTGATGCCTGTGCCAGCAACAGTTGCTGGGAGTCAGTCAGGCTCTCAAGAGTAGAGACTTGGAGAATAAGAGTCCACCATACCCATATATCACACTGCATTGTGATGCATTGTGTCTATCTCATCTCATCTCATTTTATCTTATCAGAATCAGATCTATACGTATAAATATGTAACAAAACAATAATATATATATATATATTTATATATATATATATTTATATAATTTTATATATATAATTATAATTATATATATAATTATAATTATATCTACATATTCTTATGACTAAATTTCGGTCATAAGTAACGTAATTAAGCATCACATACATACACACATGTCCCTATGACTAGTCAGTTGACATGTCAAACGTAAGTTTTGATTGTAATAAGCCGGTCTGCGACTGTGCAGCTTTTGGGTCAAAGTGTTGGCTCCCCTTAGCAGTGATGGCTGCTAGGGTGGAGCTGACTGAAGGGCGGAAGCTCGGCACGACGGAGTTCCAAGAGGAGTATGAAAAGGTTACTGATCACCTTTTCTTCCAGTGTGTAGATGATCAGGGACAGGCCCAAGGGCATGCCGTTGCAGAGGTGGTCAAGAAGTACCGCTGTGACTCTGATGGCGCTTTCCTGCAGCTGAGGTATGTGCAGGTGAGCGACCAGTATTACCAGCACTGGCTGGAGACCACCGGCGGGGGAAACTTCTATCACCACCTTTGCACGGGGAGCCTGCGGACATGCCAGCGGAAAGTTGGCAAGGAGTCGCTGGTGCATGTGCAACACTGGCTGCCCGTAGACAAGGGCCAGGTGAAGTCCATTGTCAAAGGCTGGAAGACTGCGCCTTTGAACTATGGGCCGCCCAGGGCTCCCAAGGGCAGACCCTTGGTTGAAGAGCCAGTGCACACTGCACCCAAGGCCCGTCCTGATCGTCGAGAGCAAGGAGAACGACGCCGTCGAGACGATGACCTTGGTGATGGCCAGGGAAAGCTTGAGGATCGTCGAGAAGCTGCTGAATCTCCTGGTGGAGGCCAGGAACGCCGAAGGGAAAGGAGAAGAAGTCCTTCCGACTCGAGTCAGGAGGATGGAGACGTGGGACGCTCCAATGCGCGCAGAGGACGCTCACGGGACCGACGTCGACGCAGCAGACGAGAGTCCAGAAGCCCTACCCGTTGCAGGCCGGAGGATGCTAAGGGCTCTGTGGGTCATGCCGCGCGCCGTGAAGCTCAGGTGAAGAAGAAGCCCAATCCTCTGGATGCGATGCTGGAAGATGAAGACTGGGACCCGATGAAGCCTGATGCCAAGCTGGAAGCCTTGAGAAAGCGCCTTGAGGAGCAGAAGCGCAAGAGGGCCGATGGTAAGGAAGGTGCCAGTGCTGTGCTGGCCCGGAGAGCGCAAGCAGGAGCTGAGGCTAGTAAGAAAAGAAAAAAGGAGTCGGAGAAGGACAAGGTGACAAAGGCCCTCAAGACACTTGCAGCAACGAAAGCCAAAGAAGAATCAAGCTCGACTGGAGAGGACTCTGATGATGATGAGACCATCATCTTCGGTGGTGGCCGAAAAGATGGGGATCTAATGAGCCGACAAAGGCGTCTCCGAAAGGTGTCAGCAGAGCGGCCAGGCGCCTTGCTCACCAGAGGGTTTGCCCTGATGCATGAGCAATTGGGGACCTTACATGGAGACCCCACCGGTGCTGGGTCGAAAGAAGATGTTCTGCAGCCGGGTGCCTTGCGATACCTACTGTCGTCGGCCCTGCCTATGACCGATGTCAAGAAGATTGGTGAGGAGCGGATGCGTGAGTTGCGCACCTTGGCAACCACGTTGGATTTGGTCGTAGGCGGGAAGATGAGCACGGCGGGGGACTACCTGATGCAGCGCTTCAAGAGCATCCTGATGTCTCTCAGGGATGGAAGTACGGCAGCTTCCAAGTACCTGGAGCTGGTGCCTCTGGAGCTTTATCCGACTGCTACGTCACTGGAGGAGACCGACTATGCCAGGTCTTTGGCTGTCAAGGGTGCAAAGTCGCAGGAGCTCCTAGACCGAGTGGCTGGCTCGGGCTAGGGACTCGGCGGGGGGAAGTCACGCCAGACTTCCCCTCAGCGCCACCCCAAGTCACCTGCAAGCGACAAGGAGGAGGAGGAGAGCTCACGACAGAGGAGGCCTGCCTTGAAGGAAGCAGGGCCGAAGAGGAGCCGCAGCCCCTTGAGGAGGGCTGTGAAGTTTGCAGAGCCCCTTGCCAGGGACATCCCAGCCTCCTCAGGGGATCCGATCCCTGGGTTGATGCGGATGGCAGAGGCTCGGGATGCTGTGCCAAGGAACCCGAACGAGTCGAGGACGGAGTGGAAGAAGAGGATCTTCGACTTCAAACGATCAGAGGAGGCCAAGCATGGGAAAGGAGGAGGAGGCAAGGGCACCAGGCCGAAGAAGAAGTGAGCGGCCTTGGTGCTCCATTTGATGGGGTTCATAAACCTGATGATGCCCTGGTGAAGGCCAGGGGAGTTGTCAGTGGAGCCGAATCTGGCCCTGTGTTGGCAGGGTGTAGTTCCAGCCTGGGCAGCCCCGTGGCAGCAGGGCCGGGCTCCGGCACGGCCAGTGCAGATCAGGCTGGTGCGGAGGGCAATGAAAAAGAAGCCGCAGCCCCTGCAATGACAGGGGATGTGGTGAGTACCACGCCACCCTTTTGGTTTGATGATAATGTAAGAGGCTATGAAGTTTCTTGTGAGTTTTTCAAAAGCTTCCAGCTTAGGGCCATACGTCAGTTGTCGTTTCGAGAGTTATGCAACAAGGTGGCTCTTTTGCAAGCATCCGTTTTTCAGCTGGGCGTCTCCATGATGCAGCTCCTACTGTGTAGTCCACGTGATGGAATGCAGGTTTGTCATTGGATGCATGAACAATTTTCCCAACTTTCACCACCACCATCTCGGGCCAGAGACATTTTTCCGTTGCCTCTGCCCCCAGTAGGAGCTGCCCTGCGTCTAGTAGCTATGGCAACTCAGGACCATGGAGGAGTGCTGGCCATGACTTCGTCAGCCGATGCGCGGACAAAAAGAGTGGGGCGTCAACAGAGGAAGAAGCTGGTTTTTGAGGGTACAAAACAGATTTGGCGTTGTTTGTGTGTTGTGGTTCTCAACGGCATGTCTCAAGGGTGGCAACTTTTACCTTGCACAAGGGGTAGGCTGTCAGGGAATCAGAAAGCTGCCATGGGGGTTATCAACATGTGGATAGAGCTTTTTTGCCAACAACCTCAACAAGTTGTTCAACTACCCTGCTTCCCAGACCTTGTGAAAAACCGCCAGTTGGATTATACTGGGGAAGAACTAGTCACCGCGCTGCCCCTCAGGTTGGAAGAACTGCGACCTGGCCTGCCCGACAAGGGCGTTGCTGGGAGTCTCAGTGCAGTGACTGCTGCAGCTGGTTTTGTTCAGGCCTGGGTAGCGGACCCCTGGTTGACCCTCAAGCCTGAGGGTATGTGGCCTTCAAAAACCCCTAGGGCACGAATCAATGCTACCAGGGATGAATGGAACCGGGTTTGTGCGGAGTTGTATGATAGGGGCATAATAGAGGCTATCCCCTTGTCTCAGGTTTTTCATGCAAATGGTTTGCCTGTTCTAAACGGTGCGTTCGCCGTGGAGAAACGGGGTAAAGCTGGTGCCGGCCAGTGCAGAGTGACCAGGCTGATAATGAACCTGGTTCCTACAAATGCTTTCCAGCGGCTCATGCGTGGCGATCTTGACACTTTGGCCTCTTCGGTCTCCTGGAGTCAACTCATCCTAAGAGAAGACGAAGTTTTGCTGTGGAATGGGGACGACCAAAAAGGAGCCTTCTACGCTTGGGAGTTGCCCCCTTCGTGGAGGCCATTTATGGCCTTTGCCTGGCCTGTGCCAGGATACCTGGTTGGATCTGTCAACGACATGGAATATGTGGCCTCGCGTGTCATACCCATGGGCTGGATTCAAGCGGTATCGTTGTTTCAACATCTGCATAGACGCTTGGGTATGAGCCCGATTCCAACCGGAGCCGGGCATGCAGAAGAGGCTGAATGGCGAAGGGACCGGCCGGTGCCCCAGCGCTCTGATGGGGGCACCACGGAGTTTGTGCAGTTTTATCTGGACGACTTCGACTGCCCTGAAATTGTCCCCAGTGTGGGCTGGGAGGCAATGCAGGGGACGTTGAGCAAGTCGCATGCGAAGCAGCGGTTGGCTTATCAGCGCTGGGGCGTGGGTATAGCAGAGGAAAAAGCCCACGTGCGTGAGCCCAAGGTCATACGCATGGGAGCTGAGGTCAATGGGACGCTAGGCACGGTCTCGGCTCCTCACTTGAAGAAGCTGGAGGTGGCGTACTTCACGTTGTGGGCTCTTGGGCTGCACTGTCCACCAGTAAAGGTCTTGCTGATGATACTAGGGCGTCTGGTTCGATGCTTTGAGTTCAGACGCCCACTCATGAGTGTGCTGTCATCAGTCTGGCCACGGGAGTCAGTGGGCGTTAGGCGCCCCTGGTCAAAAGCAGGTATCCAGGAGCTGTTGAGAGCGGTGGTTGTCTTGCCCCTTGCTGGAGCGGATCTTCGAGCGCAGGTGAGTAACCAGGTGACTTGCTCTGACGCTTCAGAGGTAGGCGGAGGCCTAGCCTGTTCGGGCGCTTTGACTGAGGAAGGGCACGCTGTCCTCAAACAGCTGCAGAGTGCGGCCTATGTGAAAGGAAGGATCACAGGATTTCAACCACAAGGTGCAATGCGGCTGCAAACTGGTGAAGGAGTGCGGATTGTTGTGATTTCCCTCTTCGATGGCATCTCAGCCTTAATGTGCGGGCTCTGCAGGCTGAAGTGTCAGGTCATTGCCTTTGCATCATCAGAGGTGGATAGGGCCTGCAAGCGATTGGTGCGCCGCCGCTGGCCTGGAGTCATCGAACTTGGCGATGTGACCAAGATAAACATTGAGATGCTGGAGACCTTAGCAGCAAGTGTGGGTGAGCAAGTCGACTTGGTGCTATGTGGCGGTGGTAGTCCTTGTCAGGACCTTTCCTCCCTGTTGGCGGACAGGGCTGGCCTGGCGGGGTCTAGGAGCAAGCTCTTTTTCGAGATGCCGCGAATCTTCAAGGAGCTCCGTGCAGTATTCCGTTGCCCTGTTTTCCAGTTTGTGGAGAATGTCTTCTCCATGACGCCAAGCAACAGAGACGAGTTTTCCCGCACCTTGGGAGTGGAACCAGTATTGCTGGATAGTCTTCACTTTTCTCCGTGTCGAAGGCCTCGTCTATTTTGGGTTGACTGGCACATCAGCGCAAGGGGCGGGGAGCTTATGAAGGAGCATGCGGGTTATCGTGAGTGGATAGTCCAGCCCTGTGGTATGGCAGGGAACTGGTGGCTTGACCCGCTATGTCACAGGACCTCGGAGGCTCCGCTACCTACCTTGACACGAGCACTGCCCAGGAGTAATTCGCCAAAACAACCGGCGGGAATTGCTTCAGCGTCGGCTGAGGCTATACACAGGTGGCAAGGAGACCGACATCGATTTCAGGTCTACCAGTACGAGGATGCGCATTTGGCTTGGAAGCCTGATGGTACGTGGCGGTTGCCTTCACTCACTGAGAGGGAAAGAGCTATGGGCTTCCCTGTTGGTTACGTGTCCAACGGTTTGAATCCCAAGCTCACTTTGGAGGAGGCGTTCAACGCTGGCTGCTGCATGATTGGGAACTCCTTCAATGTCTATGCAATGACCTTGCTCCTTGATGAACTCCTCTCACAGGTGGACCCTTCCTATGAGCCTAGGTGCCTTGACCGCATTTTCGTCACAGATGATGAAGCCCCACCAGGTTGGTGTAGTAAACCGCGCTTTGATCCAAATACAAAAGCAGATGAATCTGGTCGAATGTTGGTACAAGAATTTTTACGACATGCGGATAGGGCTGGTACTGACGTCAGATTGGATTTAGGTATTCCGTTCAGGACTAAGGCATGGCCTAGGGCAGGTATCAGGTCAAGACTGTTCCACTGGAAAATCATACATGGGTATCCATGGCGGTTCAAGGGACACATAAACCTGCTAGAGCTGCAAGCCGTGGTGAACTCGCTCCAATGGCGGCTTCGTGCTCTGCCGAACTTTAAGAAGCGGGTGTTGCATTTGGTGGATAGCCAAGTAGTTGCTTCGATCATCACCAAGGGCAGAACTAGCAGCTTCAGGTTAAAAAGGGCAGTTGAAAAGCTGGCTAGCCTGTGTGTGGCAGGTGGAATCCAGTTATCAGTAGGGTACGTGGCCACTGAGGAGAACCCTGCTGACATCCCATCTCGATGGGGAAAGCGCGCAGGCAAGTCGAGGAGCGTCGAAAAGAGCGCAAAAGACAGCGGAAAGGTCAGACCCTCGAAGAAAAGGTGCTGACGCCTGGACTCCATGACAGGTACGCCACTGCTGCAAACCGACTCTTGAAGTTTTGGCGAGAGTGCAGATCCTTTCCAACAACCTGGGATGACATGGACGTAGCCGTTTCTCAATGGTTGGAACATCTTTTCACCGAGGGTTTCCCAAAAGGGTATGGATCCGATGGCTTAGCGGCTTTGCAACACTTCTTGCCTGAAGTGGCTGGCAAGCTCAGACACAGCTGGAAGCTCTTGAAGTCTTGGCAGAAGATGGAACCGCCGGTCCGGGTTTTGCCCATCAGTCCTCTCATGGTGATGGCCATGGGAGGAGCTTGCGTGAAGATGGGACTTCCGAGTTGTGCTGCTGCTTTCCTCCTGTGTTTTGATGTGATGCTTCGCCCAGGGGAACTCTACAGACTGAGGAAGAAGGACATCACCTGGGCAGGGGGAAAAGCAGTAGTATCTCTCAAGGATACAAAATCTGGACTAAGGAAGGGTGCTGAGGAAATGGTCATCTGCTCTAGCCACGTTGCAAACTCTTGGCTCGCCCTCGCATTGTCATCAAAGCTGCCAGATGATCTTTTGCTTGACCGTTCTCCAGAAGCTTTCCGCGTCTTGTTCTTCTCGTTACTGGATCTCTTTTGCATTGAGGGGCACTTCTCAATGTATTCTTTCCGCCGGGGCGGAGCTACCTGGCACTTTCTTACGGAAGGTAGCCTGGAACAGACGCTGTTACGTGGACGTTGGGTTTCTACATCAACGGCACGCATCTACCTGCAAGATGCCGCAGCAGCCCTGAGCCATCTCTCCATAAAGCCTGAGCAGAAGCAATACATGCACTCTTTAGCACAGGTGCTATCGGCCACTGGCCAGAAAGGGGTCCGTGGTAGGTAGATACAGTTTTTCTTTTGCGGTGGCATCAGGACAGGCTCTGTTTATAGCCCCAGTGATGGCTGGGGAGGCTCCTCTGGTGAAGGCCAGAGGTTTTGGCCATGGATTTGACCTGCTCCTGATGGCCTTGGTACAGGTAAAAATTTTTCCTGTAGTTGTTGTGGTGGCTAAGCCACATCTTGAAGCTTTCTGGTGGTGGAAAGAAAAACGCAGCGGCCTGACATGTCCCTATGACTAGTCAGTTGACATGTCAAACGTAAGTTTTGATTGTAATAAGCCGGTCTGCGACTGTGCAGCTTTTGGGTCCCCACCCACCCTCCGCGGATTCAGTTCCGGCGGAGGGCCGCCGTAGGTAGATACAGTTTTTCTTTTGCGGTGGCATCAGGACAGGCTCTGTTTATAGCCCCAGTGATGGCTGGGGAGGCTCCTCTGGTGAAGGCCAGAGGTTTTGGCCATGGATTTGACCTGCTCCTGATGGCCTTGGTACAGGTAAAAATTTTTCCTGTAGTTGTTGTGGTGGCTAAGCCACATCTTGAAGCTTTCTGGTGGTGGAAAGAAAAACGCAGCGGCCTGACATGTGTATGTGTATATATATAATATATATATATATATATGTATATATATATATCCCTCAATTGCACTGCCTCTGAAAGAGGCTTTGGCTTTGCTGTTCAGCGGCATTGAGCCAAAGCCCAAGAGGGGTGACTTTTGCTGCAAGATTTCTGGCAAACAAAAATGGGTTTGCCCAAAAATAGGGAATTTCTACCACATACTGGTATGACCATTTTATTGAAAAGCGGGATGGTAAACCGATGGATTCGGGGGTACCCAAAACTAGGTTTAGTACGGCTCAGTGATGTTGAATGGCTGCGGTAAGGCCAAATGTCATGACCTTTGGTGTCGGTGCCTTTCTCGATGCTTTCACAATGTCTCTACAGAAGAGTGGCCCTGGTGGTTTCATGTTTGTCTGCTCAGGCAGGGGCAAGAGCATTTGCACGAGGTGCTCAGTCAGTGGCTCACTTCAATGCTTGGATCAATGTTGTCAATTCGTTTTCGATATGTGCAAAAATCAAGGTGGCAGCATGCCGTTTGCCTGCTTGATGAAGCTGCCAAGTTTGAGGCCGGAGTATCACCAATAAATCGGTAAGTTCCTGCAGCTGTTCTTCCCTCTAGATCATACATGATCATACTGCGTTTACCGCCACTCGTCAGGCTTATTCTTGCTTAGTATCTAGATGTATTTAGTGACTTGCTGATTATCAGGTGCAGTTGAATGAGATTGTTTGCTCCAGCATAATCAGTGCCTGCGATGAAGGGCAGGACTGTCCGGGTGTGTGTGTGTGTGCTTTCAGATTTCAATGGCAGTGAGACCACAGTGAGACAATGCCTAATTTGCCGCAGGAATGGGAACAAGCCTTGGTGGTTTTGGCAGGCATGATACAGGCGCATTGCGAGTTGCTGTTCTGTAAGCACGTTACAGTATCACATGGTCAACCATGGTCAACCAATAAATAATTGATAATAATTGCCATGCCATGCCACGTTTCTTTTGCTACAGAGCTGATGCTGTGCTACTACAGTGCCACGGAAGTGTGTTGCCCAGCATGGCATTCGCGTTGGCACTGGGGTGCTGCAGTGTTGGGCTGCTGCCACTGCTTGTTCATTCTTCTGTGTTTCTTTTTGTTAAGCAACCCTGTATAACCCTGTGCTCTCTTGGGGTTTGAGGCAGGCCCTCGACCCAACCTTGTGGCGTACAATGCTGCAGTCAGTGCTTGTGCGCATTCGCGCCAGCATCCAAGATCGATATTCCAAGATGATCCGAGAAGAGGATTCTCCATTTTTTGGGCTTCTGAACGAATCTTAGCTGAAGGCCACTGGAGGGCAGCTTTGGAAGTGTTCAGTGCACTGCAGCATCAATGCCAGTCCAAGCCTCGCAGCTGATGCTTCAGCGGTTTCCCCAAGTTTCCAACAAATGAAATTCAGAAGCTGCATTGAATCATTGTCATCCAAACAAAGGCCCGATTCTGTTTCCTTCACCACTGCCGCAAACTTAACTGAAATTGATGTTAACTTGCACTCTACTGTTGCATCTTGTTGCCGAAAGTCTCATCGGAATAGTCGTCATGGACGTTGAGGTTCTCACTGCTTACGAGTGTGCTTCGAAGTGGGCCGAGGCTTGACACATTTTGACTTGAAGTGACCAGTCGATTCATAATTCATGATGCTGATGTCTTCATGATTTTTGTGGAGGCCTCCAACTGCTTTTCTTTCATGGAGACCTTGGGCATTTCATCTGGCACAGCTGAGAGAACCATTGTACACCTCTCAGAATCAGAGAATTGGAAGAATTGGCTATGGGTCATGTCATTGAGTTGTGGATAGTATGGACAATCAACATAAAGTGGTTAGTTTGAGTATAAAACGATTATATAGACATATGAACATTGTTAAACCACATAAAAACATGTTTTTCAGATATGAACTGCATGAAACATATGAAACCACATCAAATCATCAAGAAATGAGGTACTGGCAGCTGGCTCTGCAAGTCGCCGCTGGGAAGAGGTGGGTCGCATTCGAAAAATGCGGAATGTTCCATGATTATTATATATTATTATAATGGGTAATAGGAATATCATGGAATAACTGCCATTTATAATGGCTTATAATGGTTTAAAAAGTAGGAAAGTAATGAAGAGCTTTTGAAATTTGTTATTTTAACCATTGTAAAGCAATACATCAATGATATCAACCACGAGATGTTGAGTTACCCTATTTTCGGAACCGGTCTCCCGTCCCGACCTGCAACCAGTTCACACCCCTAAAGCTTGTGAGGCACTGCATTGCGTTCAGCGACCAATCAATATGCGTCACAGCAGCATTCCCAGAAACCAGCAGGATGAATTATTGCTAGAGTCAGCAATCACTTTGCTCGCATTTACAGTACTTGTTTTCTAGCGCTGTCTTTTCATGTTCTCTATGTGTGATGAACATTTCAAGAAGTACAACCACAGCGTTCCATCTCACGTGCCATCTCTACATCTATGGCACGTGAGATGCTGAAGAGTGGCTCTTTCAGGCCTCCCTACTTGTAATGCCGCGATTGCAGCGTGTGGACAGGCCGGGATCACGCGGATCTAGCAGATACAAAGTGACGAAAAAATGGAAGTTGCATTGAATACAAAAGTTGCATAAGGTTCACATTGAATACATTGAGTGGCAAAGGATGTGTTGAATTTGACCGGGTCACGTGCCATCACATCCTGTTCACCAAGTTGGCTCGGCTCAGGGACACAGCTGGAGTTCTTCAGCCAGGTTCCTGGAGGAGCTGCATCGACAAGGAGAAGCTGACGAATTTACCAGGGGAGCCATGGTGAATAGTTGTGGGGTCTCTGATGAATGGCAGCTCTCCATCCATTTTTTGCATCAAAATCATGGAAATCATGGGGCCCAAAAAAAAAGAGGGGCTGATGCAGTGTCAGTCAATGCAGCCATCAGTGCATGCGAAGGGCGAAATACTTGGCAGTTGTCCATTGAAATGCTTGCAACACTCCCACAACAGAGACTGGACACAACAATTCTGGCGGTGAATTCTGGTATCAGCGCGTTCTCTTGGAGCCGGCAATGGGAAGATGCTGTGGAACTTCTCAGCCGGTCCGTTCATGGGAAGCTGGATGCCACAGAGGTCACATGGAACGCGTTGGCTGTAGTGGCCTACAAAAGTCTACAGTGGCAGTTCTGTTGCTGGCTACTGAACAAGATGGTGGAATGTCAACAGCCACCTGATGTCCTGGCTTTAGAAGCAGCACTCGGAGCTTGCGAGCGCAGCGGCGTGGAACGGCATGCAGCAGCTCTTTTGGAGGCAGCGGGATTGCGTTTTGCTCCATGTCAATCAGTATCCGCCAAAAAAAATAAGAGGATTGATGCAAATCTAGACGTTGACATACTTTGACTTTGATTGGCTTTTCAGTGATTCAGACCTTGTAATTGGATATGGCAATGACATGGCACGTCAGGATCTTGCCGTTGAAGCTGAAGCACTATGTGGATGAGAAAGATCACCTCTGCTATACGAAATGTTTGCCTTGGTTGTCTAATGGGATTTATTCGTTTTACTTTGATTTAATATATTTAATGGTAATTAATTGGATTTAATGGTAATTAATGAGATTTAATGAGATGTTGATTCATGGTTCATGATGTCAAAGTCGTTGAATGTCTGAGGATTGACCACCATCTTTCTCTTCCTTGCATTATTTGCATTCCCATTGCTTTCAGATCTGTGAACAGCTTTGGCTCAGTTCAGGAGAGTCAGGTGTAAACGTAGCGCATCTCAAAGATGATCGCCTCGGCCGACTGTGGGTTATGTTATGTTCGACATTTTGCATTTGGAAGTAGCATTCTAATATATGTGTGTATATATATATACATATATATATAATTATATATATACATATATATATACATTACAGATTCATTACAGTCATTACACTGAAAATCATGGAAAATGCCTTCAGCAGTTCTAACGAGGCTCCCTCGCCATGCTATGCCATGCTCAATATAGGACATCGCCGTAAATGGCTCAACTGCTCTAAATTCCACAAGTCAACAACTGTTGCTCTTGCTTCCTTGCTACCACGGCTTCCGCCTGCTGACATAGGCTTGGGCCTCATCAGCCTGATACGGAATCTTTGCCGGCGGTGTGTGTGTGTGTGTCTCTGTGTGTGTGTGTGCAATTGTCTTTGTTGAAATAAAGCAAAGAAAGGGACATTTATCAATACTTGAATCATCTTGAATCAGCACTTGGGGAATTCGGTTTTTCATCACCTTGTGATAAATTCACCGGTGTTCGCATGTGCTCGCACGAGCATCTCTGAAGAAGAGACAATGCCTGAAAGATGTCAAAAGAAGGAATTTGGCAAGAAGCCAGACGGTGTTGCTGCCTTATTGATGTCGCATATCTTGCTCTTCTGAGGTCTGATGTGGGTCGGTAAGGGCTATGAATATGGCAAGGGACCTCAGGCAGGGTGTTGGTTGCTGTTACTTGCAGCATGCAAAGATTACTCACAACTCACAAGACGTTTGTTTGTTTGTGCCACAGAAACAGGATGGGATGAGTTTCTCCTCGTCAATGGGCAAGGCGGACTGGAATTTTGGCATCAAGCATCTTGAGTGAAGATAAGTCAGTATCCTTTGCGAGGGCTTTTTCAATGGAGCTGATTATGGACACGGTGGTGATTACGGAAAAGGTGGTGGCTATGGAAAAGGTGCTGACTACGGAAAGGGTGGCGATTATGGAAGAGGAGTTGACTACGGGAAAGGTGGCGACTACGACTATGACGTCGGCTATTCCAGGCCATTTGGCACATCATTGGGGAGTGCGTGGCAGTGTTCTTGACCTTTTTGGATGATATCAGTGCTATGATAAATTGTTCTTGTATGTTCTTGTTCTTTTGTTTTGTTATGTTGTTGATATGACTATTACGCATACCATGTTTGTTGTAGATTGTCGTGAAAAGCATAAAATGACCCTCATGTCCACTTTCATTGTTCCACTTTTGTTCTATGATAAGACTATTTCTAAATCACCTGACCTAGCATGACCTGGCCGCTATTAGCCACTTGGAAGTCGGCAGGCCATCCTATCAAGGAAAGGGCTCCTGGCCCCCAATGTCTTCAAAGGGTCCTAGCTTTGGAGCGCCTTCCAAAGGGCCCATGGCTTCCAAGGGGCCCATGGCCAAGGGGCCTCCGTCGGCCTACGGTCCCAAGGGGGGCTATGGCGGCTTCAGCGATACGTATTCGAGGCCCAAGGGCGTTTCCAGCAAAGGGAACGAAACAAGAAAGCCACCAGATACAGGCGCGGACGCAAAAATGATGAATGCCTCTTCAAAGTGAAACTGTGAAATACTGACCATCTTGCAAAATTTGAATCATAATTTCAAAATATTTCAAAATATTTAAACAGCCTCGAACACAGTTACTCAGCTGCTTTTACTTGAGCACTGCCTCACAAGGCCATGAAATTCCGCCTCCACCTGCTCCAGTGAAAATAGGTTTCTTGGCATTTCTTGGCACTGATTGCAAGTGTGCAGGGAATTCCCAAGAGATTCTGCCGTGTACTCCAGGAAGCCCTGAAGCTTTGGAATTGCAGCAAAGTTGGAATCAATCTCATGGTTGGCAGCTGAGGGGGTGTTGCTGTATGTTAGTGTATGTTTCTGTACGTATGTTGTAATGCTGTTCTGCATTGTTTTGCAGCCTTAATCATCTTTATTCATTTTTTGTGTTCCATGATCCCATGTCCAGCTTTCTCACCCTGAGGAAAGCCCCAGGCCAAAGGTGCCTCAACTTCCACGAGAAACGCAAAGCCAAGCAATGGAAATCAGTGGTTTCCCAAGTTCTTTCGGCCACTGTCCTGGGTTGGATTACCAGAGGTACGAGGATCATGTCACAATGTCGAATCCAACAAAACATGGTTGATCTACATGTGTTACATGTGTAACACAACATTGTTTGATCTTATTTGATCTTACTTTTGTGACTTTTGTGCATTACCGTTTGTTCTTCAGGAAAAACACGGGGGAAAAGCCTCCTGAGAAGCGAAAAACGGGAAATGCGCACTGGCAGCCAAAGATACTTGGAGCAGAGGGAAGTTGATTGCGTCACATGATATGTGCGGCACATGCTCCAGTGAAGATCCGCTTTTTTGCCAAAGCCTTTAGGAGTGGAACATCGCCAAACCCTCAGATCGGACTTTTGTCCCAACCTTGAGAGTGATTCTTGTGAAAATCAAACATGACCCTGAGGAAAGAGAAAGAAAGAGTTCTTGCCCAAGTTGAGTTGAGTTTTTCAACTGGCTTTGCTTGTTGCAGAGATCCTGCATTCCACATTGCACTGAACTTTGTCTTGGGAATTACACGAAAGTCTGAGAGTCTTGTAGATTTTGTGGAGGAAAAGACAGAGGTGATGAGCGCAGAAGTGCGTGATGCAACTTCGGCATGTTTGGTCGCCATGGGGTGATTCAGGGTGTGTGTGACCCCACTGCACCAGGACAACCCCTACAGCCGGCTTATGGCACTGAAACGAATGGGTTGGAGCCTCAAATCCAGGTGTGATGGCAGACAGACCAACTTTTCGCATTTTAGAGGAAGACAATGGAAGACATGTCAGGTGTTGTCGAAGAGTACGAGAAGATTCGTTCATTTTCGGTCTTGATTGTTGGCCAAGACCCCAGCCTGTGAACGTTGGCATGTGACTTGTGAAGGTTGTGAAGCATTTGTGAAGCAGTTGGCATTTAAGATATTTTAAAATGCAGGCATTGGAGGAGTTGGTTCCGTGGTCGCAGAGATGTTGACTCGATGCGGCATAGGCACTCTGCATTTCTTCAAGCACGACACCTCACTCCACCCTTTTTACGTCGCCAAGTGTACTAGTTGCTTGAAATGCAGGTAAGCTTCTCCTCTTCGACTACGACAAGGCAAAACAGCAAAACCTTGTCTCAAGACTTGTTTGAAAAGTTTGTGAGTTTCCTGAATGTTCTTGTAGCAGCATTCGCAGCAGGTTGAACTTGCCAACATGAACCGACTATTCTTCAGACCAGAGCAATCAGGCAAGTGATGCAATGCTTCTTCATTGGTATATAATGATAATGTAATGATTGGATGATGGTTGCCCACACAGCGAATGGAGATGAATGAAGTCCTCCCTTTGGCATATTTTGGCATCAGGCCTTTCAAAGGTGGAGGCCGCCCATCACACGTTTGGACCTCACTTGAATATATTTGAATCCTGAACGAATTGATGAACTACCTACAGAATCCTACAGAGCTGTCATGATGTGTGGGGTGTTTGGTGATGTTTGGTAATGTTTGGTGATTCCTTTTGAAGATGGTTTGAGCAAGGCTTCAAGGAATCAATCCTGATGTGGAGTTGAGACCTGAGATTTGCATAGATTTGCTGCATCTCATTCCATGTCCATTGGATCGGACGTCGTATGACAATGTGTGGCATGCAGCTCATTGATGCTCATTGTATCTCATTGTCCAGGTTCGAAACATACAACATGAACATTACATCAGCCGAAAACTACGACCTCCTGTGGTGCTCCCAGGAAGATGAGATTGGAAAGCGACCAATCATTTTGACACACACATTTTGACGTCGACTGCTCGGGGCTCCAGGCTCGAACGAATAGAGAATGGTGGCCTGGAGAAGCAGAGGGTAGACCTAGTTCTCAGCTGCGCTTGGGCCTAAGATGGCCTAATTCAAAAAGATTCCAACTAACTCCACAGACTTTTGAATTCCGGCCTTTCATCAAAGTGCTAGCAGTGCTAATGCTTCAAGATCTTCAAGGCCATAAGGAGTCGAGAGTGGAGACGCAATGCTGTCGTGGAATGTTGGTGAAGCAACATGAAAAAATATGAAACAAACATGAAACAATCTGTTTACTTCAGGCTTGAGGTATGGGAAGCTTTTATCGATCAACGGATATCAACGGCATCATTGCGGCATCATTTTGTGTCCTGCAAAATATCCGCCAAGTGAAGCCAAGGTGGACAACTATGCTGCCCGCATGACCATCAATCAGGTGCGAGTCATCCGTGCAGAAATTCTGGGGGCAACAAAAATGCTGCCAAAATGCTGCCAAAGGCATTGAGGTAGTGCCAGTTTGCTCCAGTTTGCCAGTTTGTGCCAGTGTGTGACTGGGTTGTTCAAGAGACCTCTGTTTTTCCTGCCAAATTGATTCCAAATTGGCCACACAACATGCCTGAGGCCTGCAATGAGCTTGGACAGCCATCAGCCCAAGGGCTTGCTTATAGATGCTTATAGTATGTCGCAACTTGCAAACAGCACCTCACGAAAACTTGAAACATGTGCTGAAGCAAAAGGTTTAACTTCGGAAATGATCAAAAGCTTTGAACATAAAGAGCATGACAGATACTGACAGATGTCACTGATCCTGTACGTAGGGATTGGTATTTAGCTTCAGGATGTGGCTGGAGTCTGGAGTGTCTGAAAATGCGGTGCACTTCTCAGCCACTTCGTTTGGTTGTTGTCATTTTAAGTGATACTTGGCACAGCCTGGGCAGTCCGGGAGGGGCACAGAATCAACTTCAGTTGTGGCAAGCTGCAGGTGTCTGGCCACGTCCAGACCATGATCCCTGGCAGGCCATGAATGATACCTGGCAACGCATGCAGAACTGCCTAAATCAACGCCAGGTATGCATGCTTTGAATGTGCTCCTCCTGCAGTAGTGGCCAGTGGTGGTGATGAGAATGCTATAAAACGAGAGGCCTCGCCAAGCATGACAACACGCTGGTTCCCTCCGGAGCACAGCAGTTGCCCAGTGAGTTTAGAAAGAGTTGGTGACTGTAGGATATTGTAGTTGTGAAATGATGTGAAATGGTGTGAAGAGGTCTATATTGACACGTCCTTCCTATCATCCTTTGGAAAATGTGGCTCTGTTCAAGACACATCCACTGTGCAGGGAGTTTGCGCAGCATCGCTGCCAACCACGATGGGCATCACAGCAGGTTTGTTGGCCCAGGCATGGTGATCATGGCCCAAAAGTCGCCGTAGAACCCCAGCGATCATGTGGTAGTAGTAAAAGGGATGGTTTATCATGGTTTATCAATCATCATCAGTGATCATCAATGATCATCAGTGATCATCAATGATCGATCATTCAGTTTACCACTTTCCGTTGCCAATTGGTGTAGCTCAATGCTGGTGAAGTGATGAAACTTTGGGTTGCTTGATGAGTGCACGACTGTAAATGAGAAACTCCCAGTGGGCATTGTGGTCTTGTAACTGATTGTAGGGAACTTTGTCGACTAGAGTGTTGACATTTCCTGACTTTTGTTTGGGTGTTTCTCCAAGACACCATCTGAATACATGTTTCATTTTGCCTCTGGCATTGAAGCAGGCAACCTTGAAGCATTTGCTCAAGTTTGGAACGGTGCCTGGCTTGAAACACAGGGATGTGCCATGCTGAATCTTCACAACAGCTTGGCAAGTGGCTGAATGGATCCACTTCTTGGTTTCGCGGGGCAAGGTGTCAAATTTCCTTGGATACGATGCCTTGGGTGATTTCTTCCCTTCGCAACCTGGACAGCAAGAGACAGCACGTGGGAATCTGGGCTGTACGTGTGCATTTCACGGCATGGATTCAGAGTTCTGAGGTATGGAATGGCTCCAAATCCTGAGTGTAGCAGCCGACACTGCAGGCAGGGTCCATAGGCTTCCATGGGCACGTTCGAAGAAAACGTTCGCATTTATTGGGTTCCGGGTTCACGCTCGTATCCTGGTTTGTCCTGGTCAGATTACGACAAGAAGATTGGCAAGACAAGCCTGAGGCGTGCAAGACTTTTGAAAGTCTATGGTTGTCTATTTGTTCATATTCATCATATTCATATGTTCGAGTCTCAATCCAAGTTACACAATCATCAGCATTTATGAGATTGCTGGCCATGCCTTTGACTATGTTTGAATGGGCAGGAGATGATGGAGCGATATGGCTTGAGGGAGGACCGTGCTTTGCATGTTTCTTGCCTCCGCTTCTTTGTTGTCACTGCATAGCCAAGATGAGGGTTTGTGGGCACTGCACTATTGTCAAACTTGGTGATCAACCTAATCAGGAGAAAACTTCAGACGATACAGGCACAATGGAGGCCCCAGACCAGTCATCGCAGCAGATTCTCGTTGACTGGGGCCACCTATTCCTTTTCCAAGCTCAAGCATAGAAAATGAGGGAGAAATCCAAACCTCAAGGATCCCACTGCTGGTATCGTATCAATGCCGTGCAGTTGCACCCTGACAACGAGTGGGGCATTGTTGTAGAAGATGCCAGCGATGGAGCTGCGGATTCCTTAGTCTGCTTGTCACCGCTTGTCACGGTAGCTACTCGCTAAATTTGCTTTGTTTCGGGTGCAGGATTGACAGGATTGAAGATCTTTCCTGCCGTATGTTCAAAGATAGATTAATTAATGACATTGAATGCTCTCGAGACATCTCGAGACCATATACAAAGTTTCACCAGTTTCAGTTCTGGTATGTTTTGGTGTCCATTCTTCGCAACCACTCTTTTGGTGGGCACCGTTCTGGGCTCTGTAGGTTCGTTTCCCTTCTGGATCCCTCGGTTTGTATCATCGATCATGGAAATTTCCTTGAGATAGACCAGTGGACAGCATCTGCTTAAGGTTCAAGAGGCTCCGAAGGATGAGGTGGTTGACACACAGGTGCAAGCAGTTGGAGATAAACAACTTTGGGATTTTTGGTTCAAGCACAACATGCAATACATGTAGTAGCAAGTCTTGTGGCCCAACCATATCAACCATGACCCCCTTTTCTGCCCCATGAGCTCTTCGCGGCAGGGAGCTTCTGTGGCAGATCTTATGGCTTCATTAAAATCATTGGGCGAATCTTGGCGACAGGGACAGATATGGAGAGCATCAAACGATCAGCAGGTCCTCCCAAGGCACCAAGGAAAAAAGAGCACCTCGGTTGACTGCACCAAGGCCCAGTGACCAAGGCAACCAATGTCTTGTTTGGGCCATAGCGACTAGCATGGCTAGCCGCGTGAAAAAAAAAAACGCGGGATTCAGCAGCCTTGTAGCAGCTGGAGATTGCAGTGCTTACACTGGATTGAAGAAAACTTGCTGCGCTGCTACACCCAAACTCACCAGTCAGCATCACCCATGCCTCTTGGGATCAAACCAGCCAATATGTTGAATGCGGCACTAGTAGAAAAGTTGCTGTCGCGTCTCTCCGAAGGAGAGGTGCGGCCTATGCAGTTTCAGTTTGTTCCAGAGCGCTTGCTGTGCTGTATTGATCAATGGTGGCTGAGTGGCAGGTGGACTTTGATGTCAGTATTTCATGTCAGGGCTTGGTCAGACACAGTTCGAAGCTTAGAGATGTTGAGAGATGTTGAGAGTTGAGACTTTTGAGACTTTTGAGACTCGCTGTGAGACGTGAGACCGTGAGACCATGTTGATCATGTTGTTTTTTTAATGCAGATGTGTGTTTGTTTGTTTTTTTTTAAGACGTTAAGGACATCGGAATCTGAATACAGAGATCCTCTACCGATAAATTATGCCAACCCAGGGCGACGCCATGAGAGCGCGACGTGCCTTTGATGCGAAGAATCAACGCGATGATGTCGACCATTCGAATCCATTGATTCCATCGATTCCATTGATGCCGCATTCGCATGTGATTTTAAGATATTTGAAACATTTTGAAGCTAAGTTCTTGACACTTTCAGGTTCCTCATGCTGGAAACAGATGGAGTGACTATCCAGATCGTATTGACAGCACCTGGAGAGCCTTTGGACTGCGGACACCTGTCAAAAACATCATGCAAGTAGGTGCGAGTAGACTGTAGTATACTTGGATCGATATATTTCAATCAAATCCATTCAAATCCATTCAAATCTCAATCGTCATGTGCAACCACAAGTAGCACAGATGCAGTGTTTGAATGTTTTCAAACTGATTTCTGGTCACTGTCTCCTGTGAACCAACACACAGTGAGGTCTATCGCAGCTGCCAGTGGGTTTGGGCTGCTCGATCTGGTGCCAGGGCCACCCAGCGTGTGATCGGTCAGGACACCACCGATGATGGGATTTATTTGAGGCCCCTTTCTTTTTGAACTTGTCAGAAGGCTTTGAATACTGTATCAATGATTTGGATTTGAATATAATATATTATGCAGGGTTAGGGTGGGGTAAGCTGGGTGATAATGTTCATAAAGTCACCAACAGAAGATGTTTTTCTGGATCCAACTTGCCAACAGGGAGTTGCCCAAGTCTCACGCCTGGTGTACAAAGTAGCGGGATGAGACCTCAAATCCCGCTGTGCCGAGCACATGAATTTCGTTTCACCGCGCGCAGACAGCGATGCGTTTCGATCGATTTACTGTACAGATTTAAGGGCTGCCGCCCCTGCCGCCGACCCCGGAAAAATTGGACCTCGATTTTTTGATCCTCCACCTTGTTTCTTTGACCCCCCACGTTGCCTTTTCGAGGCGCTTGCTACAATAGTATGGATATTATATATATATGTATATATATATATGGGCCCTATTATTATACATAGAAAGAGGAAAAGGCCGGGTGGTCACTTTGGAAGAAGATTTGGTGGACCGGGCGTGGTAAACCGGCTGGATTGATAGCTTGCTTACAGGTACGCAGGACCCCCTTCCGTTATATGTTGATTTATAATCCCATCTGACTATAGATGTATCCACCATAACTCCAAGTTATTTGGTAACCAAATGGCAAATCGTTTGGGGGCCACCGGGGATATCTATGGATATCTCGTATTTGTATACAATACAGTATGTATAGTTTTGTACATATCATATGATATATCATACATCTCACTATGATTAGATATAATATTCACATATATATATAGTACACTCATTCTATATTAACGTATACTCACGTGAAATCAAATGAAGACATATAGAGAGCACCCAACATAGATAGCCGATATTGAATTATCACTATTCTAGTAGGATTATTGTCAAAAAACATATCTTTTTTGGCATTGCTAAAATATACCCTCGGGTAAACGAACACAGGGCTTCCATAGAAACATGTCATGAAATCCAATGAAATCAGCTTTTTTTGTTGGGAAAATCCCATATCAACCCTATCCAAAATCCGATTACTTCCACTAAAATCACCATGCGATCTGATTGAATCATGAAATCATATCTGGTTGGTGGTTTGGAACGTTTTTTTATTTTTCCATAGATTGGGAATAATAACCCCAACTGACTTACTCATATTTTTCAGAGGGGTAGGTATACCACCAGCCAGATATGAAACAACATGAATGTCCATTGAATCCCACACTTTCCATCCAAAGCCACTGGTGGAGTCCTTTTTGTGGATGAAGCCTATTCTCTGAAGAAGGCTCGGTTTTCATGGGCCGGGGATGGGCTAAGTCACAGGTTCTAGGTAAACAAGAGAAATCATCCCTAAATGGTCGCAAGATTCAGGTTAGCGAAACATGATAATTTATTTATATAGATCTATAGAGATTGTTTGGTAGCGTTTTGGAGGAATGGTCATTTGCAGTATGACATCATCCGTTTTGTCAGGAAATGGAGTCATATGGAGTATACAAGGCAATGCCCGACATATGCAGGCACCGACGTCCAGCCAAGAACAGCCACGCAACAGCAATCTCAAGCAAGACGCTCACATCATCGATGCTCACTGCAGTACTGCCTTGACACTAGATCAGGTAAAGGCTAACTGTAAAAACCTTTCCAAGGATCTGAGCGGCAAAAACAAGGTCCTGAGTTTCCTGTGGCAAGTAGCTGTCCCATGCCGTAGGGTAGGACGCCGACGCATGGGTCAACCGAGGTCCAACCAGCTAACAAAGATAATACCAGAGTGGAAGAAAAGGCAAGGGAAAAGCAATGCAAGCCTCGGATATCGGTTGTTGAGGCGAAAAATGCATGCAAGTGTACCCACAACTGATGGAGACACCCACGCGCTTCCTTATGCAGTGAGGTCGGCGGATAAGATACAAACAATGCCAACAACACACAATGCAAGGTTCGGACGTCGGGTGTTGCGGCTGCCGACAAAATTGAGCGTCCCATCAACATCATCAAATAAAAACAGGGATGCTAGCATCGATGTCCCAGCAACACAATGCAGTTGCTCCGAAAGACTAACGGCAGACAATTGCAAAGATACTGTCGCATGCCAACCCAGCTTGTGTAAGGAATATCGGTTTGTTGGCGGTGGGCTGGCTCCAGCCAATACGCCTGCCGCAAGCTGTACTAGCGATTCGCACTTTGACCCGAAAGAAGTTGTGACTGCAATATGCTTATCGCACTTTCACGATAGCAATTTCGTGGAAGAACTTCTAGCACAAGACTGGGTAAACACATGGTCTGGTTGGACCGAGGTTGCTGACGATGCGTCAAATGCAGTTTGGGAGGCTTTCGCTGAACGCTTCATAAGACTTGCAATGGAGCACGTACCGTCGAGCCAGAAAACTAACGCACAAAGATTGGGAGAACTGCATGAACAAGGCTTGCAGTTGAAACGTGCCTCTGCGCATGGAGTCAATAATTGTCTCATTGATGCACTCTTGCTGGGATTGCTGGACGCTGGTCTCGTTCCAGAGACTATGTCTCTTTCGCTAAAGCAACGACGTCACTTGTGTGCTGCCTGCCGCCTATTTTTGTACAATGAGCATGGCACGCCACCAAGAATTTACTTGGATGCGCATCGCGATGGGCCACGCGTTTTGGACTTCTTTTTGCGGAAGAAATGGCCACAGGATGTTGCTGTGCGCGTTTGGCTCTACAATCGCTTTGATCACCTTGACAATGGTTTAGGCGCAGACGACGCCTTGCGGTGGATCGACTTCGAATGCGCTACAGGTGCCGCGGTAACACGTTATGCACTTCACGTCTACAACCAGACGGACGCAAATCAACGCGGTTATCATTTTGACGCGTTGTTAGCGCGACACCAGTCCATGCACCAGAATGTTTCGTCGGCAAGCAGCGGGGGCAGCAGTGACAAAACAGCCCCAACAAAAATAAGGCATGCTGCGCCTGAGGCATCTGAAGACGAGCGGCGTTTGCCTAAAAGAGCAAGGCTGCTCCACCTCAACACCATTGTTGCTCTACGCGCCTTACGTCAAAATGGCTGGCAGTTACATCCTTGCAGCTGGCCGACAGCTCAAAACTCCCTCTTAGAAGCCATGCTGCTGGCATTGAGTTTCCATGAATGGATTTCGCATGCGTATGGACAGCTCACGTACGCAGCTGAAAGGCAAAAAGTTTGCAAAGGTTTTCCTGTCGCGCAGCATGTAAGTCCTTGCGACAGCCCGGAGGCATTGCGCAATCGTCTGGAAGCTGCGGTGTGTTTCGTGTTGAAAGAATGTCAAGGAGATACGCAACGGTTGACGACCGAAAGTCTCGAGATTTCCATTCATAAAGGGAATGCCGTGGACGCAATGAGTCCGGCTTATACTTTTCATGTCGGGAAAGGTGAGACATTGATTTCTACTGTCGTACGCCTGCTCGAATACTCCGGCATAGATCATTATGATGCCCTGCTTCCTGTTCGGCCAACGGCTGAGAACGCAGATTTCGAACTCACGGGCGTAGAAGAAAGACAAGGCAGATTGGACAAGGGCTCCGTGACAGCAGGGCAGGACCAAGCTACCGTTCCGGGGTGGAACAGTGATAGCGTACCTCACGTCGAGGAGCTGAAGGAAATCCTGCAAAGGTTCTGTGAGCGCCGAGGTGCCCATGTGCAAGTGCACGATGCAGATGCAAGAACAATGCAAACAGCCTGGAACGACCGTGATGCCACCGGAACCGTATTGCACACCTTGCTACAAGCAGGGTTGACGTATGCGGATGCCGGCATGCACCATGCACGCTGTGTAGCAGATCAGTGGCGCGGTTTTTACACCGCGTGCACTCAAGGGGAAGGAAGGCGCTTAGGAGCCGACATGCCCCAAATGTCGCGGCCTTTGGTAGAAGCTACTGCTACATCAGAGGTAGCTCATAAAGCAAACCAACAAAAGGATACAAA